CTTTTGTTTAGCAACACTATCTCCTGTTCTTGTAGGATTTTAATTGATAGATATCCGGTAGTTTGTTTAACTACGAACAATGAATGTTAAACAATCATGTGGAACAAATACATAATAATATGCATATCACCATGCACTAAGATGTTATTCTCTTTAGGTTTTTGGCACTTATGAAATACGAGGCGTCATGGTAAGCATTTGTCTTTCGTACAAAGTTTAAGAAGACTACATAGAAGAGCAAGTACAACGTGTTCAAAAGATTTGGGTTTGTGCAAAGCAAAGGAAAGTTGGTGCCTTAACAGGAGTAGGCGACGAGTATCGTTAATTTTCTGTTCATTCTCTAAAGACATCTTATTTGAATAACGATGTATTTGAAAGTGTTGATTAATAGAAAATGAAGATCGTCAACATCTGTGAATGCAACTGAACAAGAAATGGAATTAATATTCTAGAAGAAACTAGTTGAAAATGATCTCGCTAAAAACAGCTAAAGTCGATGGTCATTTTTGATGCTTTCTTTGATAACACAAATCATAAAAGTAAAATAAACAAAACTGCAAAAAATTATATAGAATCAAAAGAACTCGCGTAGAAGAAACTGTTAGAGATGTTACAAGCAAAAGCGCAAAAATTTCATGTTTATCTTCACTTTAAACTTTGTTTGAACATGATATAACAGCGTTAAGTTAATTTTTAAATTACCATCTTTAAAAATGATAATTAATAAGTTATTTAACCTGTTTCTTATAATGCATGAAAGAAAAAGGTTAGATAGAAGTTCCAAAAGTATTTTGTATCGGAAACATTTAGCTCAAGAAAAATACCCTCCGCTTCAGTGCACTTGAATGCAGGTTCAAAGTGTACTGTCTAAATTTTTCGTGAAAATTTATGGAGAAAAAGTTGGAAAGAATTTTGAATTACATAATTTTCTCCACATGCCAACATTATTTCTCGTCTTCACATCTTTCATCATTTCTCTCCATTTCTATTCATCACTTCTCTCTATCATTCACCATCATCAACTATCGTTAAGACTTGCACACTGATATTTGTGGATGTGGTTAAGCGTTGCGTCTTTCAAGGTAACAGGCAGGCTTCGAACCGGGATGGCTTGCGGAGAAGGCACAGATGGAGGCCACCATACTTTTGCTGCTGGTCGATGATGCATGACATAATTTGGAACTTTTTACATATTTTTTGTCAAGTCACAATACAAAAGTTCCGGAATACTTCATGTAAGAAACATAAACCATGTACACATATGGTATAAGTCTAATGCATTATAAAGAAATCCCTAGGTTTTATTTTATTCTACTAACAATATGGTGAGAAAGTAAAATAGATCTATTTATTTTACTTTCTCTTACCATCCATTTCTATACACAAAAGTGTATTTAGAAATCCATTGTAAGATCTCTCATAATTGACCTTCGCATCTGATCGTCTGCTTACACCACAAACATGATTTACAAATGATCAATGAATTTATGTTGCCCGTTGTTCACTAAACGCACATGATCATTTGTAGCTTTATTTACGAAGCCGCCAGTGTTCGTACTATTTCACCATTTCTAGCTTTCAATAACCATCCTCAAGTTCATAATGATAAACAATCGTTTCCAACACGACTTAACGCTAATAAAAAGTGCCAAAACTTTAAGTCACCAACATCTTAATGCTTCGAACTCATAGAATGCATGGCTAAACGATTAAGATAATACACGCTTTATTTAATAGGGTGCATAAATTTCATTTAATGATTTGCATAATACCATAGAATAATGCTCCATCGTCATTTGCATTTTACGTATATTTAATGAAGGAGAACTTAGCTCTTTTGTTTAAGACACACTAACTATTGTTTTCAGAATTAAATTCAATAGACATCCTGTAACTTGCACATACACGAACAATGAACATCAAACAATCATGTACCACAAACACATCATGAATGCCTTACGTCATGCATAAGGTATTATTCACCTCAAGTTATTGGCACTTTGTAAAATACACGGCCTCATGGTAAACACTTGTTTTTTTGTAAGAAGTTGATGAACACGACTAAACAAAGAAAAGTAAAGTTGGTGCCTTATATGTAGTAGACGGCGAGTATCGTTAATTTTCTGCTAGTCACCGAAAGACGTCTATTTGACTCCAATGTGTTTGAACGTGTTGATAGAAAATGAAAATCGTCGACATCTGTGATTACAACTGAACAAGAAACGATAGTGTGACCTTGATTTCGAAAAACTTATGAAATTTAGTTGAAAATACAAATGCTTAATTTCAAGAAAAATCAATACACACAATGGCAGAGCAAGTGAGAAATCAAAATACACGAAAAGAAAGGAAAAGATTCCTTAGTAATTTGAAGACTACTTGGTAATAGCGAAGAATTTGCAGAAAACAGATCAATAGCAAGACAAACCATTTATCGACAATTGTAGATATCTTGCAAGAAAACAAGGTCTACCAACCAAGTGAACCTCGGAAGCGATTCTCAACGAAAAATTCTCGTTGACTTTGAAAGATATCAAAGCTGAGTTGCAACGACGTCGATCATAAAGGACTATTTACCAAAACTAAACATTTGAAAGGCATGCTATTTGGATGGAAACTATCACATCGAGTACCTGCAGAGCGCATATAAGACCAGAGTTTGTACAACGTTATTAGGATAATTATACAAAGTGGCATCTTATAACAGCTAAGTTCTTCCAATGACACAGTACTTAGAGATGAATGTTTATCTATAAATATGGAACGACAAGAAACAATGGCTGAGAAGAGAGGATTAAGTCCCCAGTGAAATTTGCTCTCTAAAGCAAGGAATTTATTCGAAACTTGACAATGTCACCAGTCATAATAACACTTGTGAAATAATCACGACATTCTTTTTTGACATCTATAATATATTATGGTGCATCAGTTCGTAGAGAAGCATCAGACTACACTGATGACATCCTTGTGAAGATGCTCCTTCCTTTCACGCAGCTAGCTGTTCAGTCCTTTCCAAGCTAGTTGTCTTGTAGCATATTTGAAATTGCTATTTGGGGAAAAGAAATAGTAGAAACTGATGGCCATTTTGAATGTGCTACAGTTCTATGTGCTGCGATATTATGTATAAAAATATAGATCCCATGCAAGGCTGGGAACTATTAATGTATTGCTCTTCGGTGATAAAAATGACGATAAACGATTATTTCTTTCAACTCAATTTTTCATGCTTTCTTTCTAAAATTTACCATTATTAAGTTCTCATAAAAATCTCAACATTTTATTTATTGATCCTACTATAATTATTGATTTATTTCATTGATTAACACTTACAGAATACTTATTTTTTTATTTGCTGTATTAAAATGCATTATAGTAAATACAATAAATTTTCGATATGTCTTCGTCGATCTGCGAGGTCGAGTGGTTGTGATAGAGGTTTCTCAGGTTGAGGTGTTAGGTTCAAATCCTTCGAGGGTCAGTTGATGTTGGGCATTGTATGACAGACATTAGACTTGCAAGGAACAAAGGCCGTAAGTGTGACAGTGATGCAGTTGGAACAGTTGAGGAAGGTAATGTTGTGCACAAAGTGCGCAATTGGAATTTCTCTTGTTGAATTTTTCGAGAATGGAATGCGACACTTAGAAAAAAAATCGAAAAAAATAGAGAATACCCACAAAATTTTTTGACTGAAAAAAACTAAGTCTTTTGATCAAATTTTTCTATGACTCCCTAGAAGTTAGGGAGTCATATTTTTTATAGTCAAGAACCTCAGAGCAAACATATCGCTCTTTAACTCTCTCCTAACCTCAACCTTGCACTAAATCCTGAAGCTACAACCCATACCAGTACCGACACAGGGACGAACCAAGAACCTCGTGCATTGGAGGTCAGTCAAAGCCCGTTGAGCCAGAAGCTCAACAACGAATACTAACAGTTTTTGGGCATATTTTGCCTTTTTCTTATTGGAAAGAGATATAAAACAACCAACAACATTGAAATTATCACCCTTTATTAATTTTGGCTTTCAGTTAAAACATGTTTGGCAAATGCCTTCTACGGCATTGATAATGATGATAGAACTTTAATTTTCCATATTTTCCATGGAAAAACATGTAAACACAACGACAACAAAAATATTGTGTTTGAAACAGACCAGCATTTATTACCCTTCATTACTAACGGCTTTCATGCCGTTAAAACATGTTTGGCAAATGCCTTCATAGTGACGAAGCACTATAAATACAATGGGTCGTGAGGCTGTTCTCGTCAACATTGCATTCGAAGCAAATCATTTTTTCATATCGAGAAACAAGATCAATAAAGTATTCACAGTGTCAAGCATTGTCATGTGGTGAAACAGCACTATAACGCGCACGTCCTTAGCCAATCTTTCAAATTTAAAGGCATCTCGATTATTTAATATTAAGTTCGAAAAACAAACTTAGTTCTTCGAACTTGTTGAACGAATGACTAAGCAGACAAGATAATGCTGGCTTTATTTGATAGGATGAATAAATTTCAATGTTTGATAATTTGCATAATACCATAAAACAATGGTGAATTTCCCTTTGGCATTTTACGTATATTTATACAAGGGAACATATTTTAATTTGTTCAAGTCCGAACAATGAATTTTTAAACAATCATGTGGAACGAATACAGAATGATATGCATATCACCAGGCACTAAAATGTTATTCTTTTCAAGTTTTTGGCACTTATGAAGAACGAGGCGTCATGGTAAATACTTGTCGTTTGTACAAGGTTGAACAAGACTACACAAAGCTAACAAGTATAACGTATTTATAAGATTATTGGCTGTGCATAGTAAAGTAGTTGGCGCTATACTCGAGTAGACGACGAGTAACGTTGGTTTTTTCTGATTAACGAAAGACTGCTCATGCAGATCTATTTGAAAAGGTTGGTAAACAATGAAGATCATCATTATACCTCATTGTTCCATTTTTAACGTTATTTGAAGATTACACATAACAGTGAAAATATTTTATAATCATTGGTTTTTGACTATAATATTTGAGTTATTTTGCGCTTTACAAAAATTATACCATAAAGCAGAAATCATGCTTGATTTCCCTTCTTTATTTCAAGTTGAAAACACCCTTCATCAACTAGTAAAGTTTTATACCTGTAAGGTAGCTTTGTGTTGCAGCAATCGTTGTTTATTAAAAATTCATTAATGAAAAGTGTTAAATAAAAGTTCCAAAACAAATTGGTATCTTGAACATTTAGTTCAGGAGAAAATATTATCGGCTTCAGTGGACTGCAGGTACTAAACTCTTTGTAAAATTAAGAAAAAAAAAGTGATATTTCAACTAACCTTCTGTATTCCGTACATCTCTACCTTCTTTCCCCAATATTCACCACCATTCTCTTCTTTCAGCCATTACGGTAACTTGCACGTTGACTTAAGTGGACATGGTTTAGCGTAGTATCCTTCGATGGGACAGGTGGGGTTTGAACTGGGACATCGATCGGAGAAGGCGAAGACAGTGACCACCATACTTTTGCTACTCGTTGACGATGCTGAAAAGAATTTGGAACTTTTTTTTATAAAAGTTCTTTATTGAAAATGCATGAAAGAAAAAAGTTAAATAAAAAATCCAGAACACTTAATGCATCGAAAACATGTTGCTCAAGCGATAAATTCGTGGTTTCTGTGCACTGGTCGACTGGTTCAAGACTATTCTGGAAATTTTGCGTTGCAGCAATTGTTCTTTATTAAAATTGCATAAAAGAAAAAGGTTAAATAAAATTTCCATACCACACAAGGCATCGAAAACATATTGCTCAAGCGAAATACTCATGGTTTCTGTGCTCTGGTCGACAGGTTCGAGACTATTCTGAATATTTTACATAGCAGCAATCCTTCTTTATTAAAAATGCATGAAAGAAAAAGGTTAAATAAAAGATCCAGAACACTTAAGGTATCGAAAACATGTTGCTCAAGCGAAATTCTCGTGGTTTATGTGTACTGCTCCACTGGTTCGAGACTACTCTGGATATTTTACGTAGCAGCAATCATTCTTTATTAAAAATGCATAAAAGAAAAAGGTTAAAGAAAGTTCAAAATTTGCTGAGAGTCTTGAGCATTTAGCTCAAGAGGAATATTTTTGACATTAGCAAACTCGTCTTCAGGTATAAAGCGCTTTGCCAAAATTTTCCATAACAATTGAGACGATGAATGCATATAGCTCGTTGCTCACCAAACGTACGGGACCATATGTATAAGTTTATATTTACGCAGCCGCGATAGTATCAACATCCTTTCTAACTTTGAATAACTATATTCAACTTCGTACTGACATACACTCGTTTCCAATGCGCCTCAGTATTAACAATAAATGCTAAAACTTGAAGTCACCAAATTTTTTACACCTCAATGACTAAGCAAACAAAATAACGCTTGCTTTAATTAACAGGCTGAAAATTTATTTGTCGATGGTTTGCGCAATACCATAGAACAATGGTCAATTGTTTTTTGCAATTTGCATATGTTTAATGAAGGGAGAATATAGTTCTCTTTTGTTTTTAAGATTAGATTTAATAGGTATCCTGTGATTTGTTCAAATGCGAATAATGATTGTTAAATAATCACGTGAAACAAATACATAATGACATGCATAACAACATGCAACAACATGCATATAGATATTATTCACTTTCTGTTCTTGGTTGATCCTTTATGTTATCGAGACTTCTACCGTGCTGTTGTTAGGTTCAAACGTGTAATGGATGCTTGAATGTTCTATAACGATGAGCAAATGGTGTACAAAGCGATGACTTTTTCAAAAGTCGCCTCTTAGGCAACGAGATTTTTGCAAATGCCGTCGACTACATAAAACGACGACTTTCATAGATTGGGTTGTACGAAAAAGTATTTCAGTTACTTTAAAGTACCGACACATTAAATGAGGAATATTGACTAAGGACCGACATGCACGTCATTGCCCTCATTCACTACATGGCAATGCATGATATTGTGCATACTTTATTTATCTTATTTCCTCTGGTTTGAAACATGGATTCCTTTAAATGCAATGTTAAAATGAACATTAGAGCAAGCTCGTTCTTTGTATTTTATGATGTCTATGCTGCCGCCAAAGGCATTTGCCCATCATTTTCAGTAATAGGTGACGAAGGAAGAAATACTGCTCCATTTTAAATCTTCCTCGTGTGGTCAAATGCTTCTGATGCCAAGTTCAATGCTCACACCTTTTAGGGACGAAAGCGCTTCGTTTTCTTTCGCTTTTTTATGTGGTTCAAAACGCGTAAACAATTTTAATAGTACATGATAAATGTGGTAACCGAATATCTCAGGTTCAACACCAACTCGTTTTCTTTCTCTTCAAGTTTAAAAAAATAGCGAAATATGACCAAAAATTGTTAGTATTCGTTGTTGAGCTTCTGGCTCAACGGGCTTTGACTGACCTCCAATGCACGAGGTTCTTGGTTCGTCCCTGTGTCGGTGCTGGTATGGGTTGTAATTTCAGGACTGAGTGCAAGGTTGAGGTTAGGAGAGAGTTTAAGGGCGATCTGTTTGCTCTGAGGTTCTTGACTATTAAAAATATGACTCCCTAACTTCTAGGGAGTCATTGAAAAATTTGATCAAAAGACTTAGTTTTTTTCGGCCAAAAAATTGTGTGGGTATCCCCTATTTTTTCGATTTTTTCTAAGTGTCGCATTCCATTTTCGAAAAATTCAACAAGAGAAATACCATTTGCGCACTTTGCACAACATTACCATCCTCAACGGTTCCGTCACTCTCACACTTACGGCCCTCGTTCGTTGCAAGTCTAATGTCTATCACACCATGCCCAACATCAACTGGCCCTCGAAGGATTCGAACCTCACACCTCAACCTGAGCAACCTGTATCTAACCACTCGACCTCGCAGATCGACGGAGACCTAACGAAAATTTATTGTATTTAAAATAACAAAGGTAAAAAAATCATACATATATAAATAAATATAATTATATACTAGTATATTAATTTATAAAGTGACAGAAGCACGTATATTCTGTAAAGTGACAAGGAAACAAACCAACATCAATACCATCAATTTATAAACTATTGAAATTATCACAAATATTAAAGATGATTCAAGAAATAATAATTATCGTCAGTTTTGTCACACAACAAGTCAACAACAATACATTAGCACTTTCTATGGCCCTGGGATAATACATGAAATCCAATCATTGCGTCTGTAGCCCATTTAAAAATTATTTCCCTGTTCAGATTTCTTTTAGCAGCTGCTACCAATATTTGATAGCTGTTTCTTGTTAGCACAGTCTACCAAATAACAATTGTAAATTTTCCTTTAATATCCACAATCACAACCAATTCATGATTTCCACTTCCATATATATATCTACAATCGCAATAAATAGCCCTAGAGACCGTGATATTAAAAATGTTGGACACGGGAACCGTAAATGACTTGGTGTGATTCAAGAGAACAGATAGCTTTCTTGAAAGAACTGCAGAGAAAGATGAATAAAACGATCACATTGACATGTATGTCCTCAGTTTGGTCTGCTACTTCTCTACAGGAGCTGATACATCATAACATTTTAAACATTTCACCAATAATGACAAACAAAAATGGGAGAACTTGTCAATCATATTCGACTATTTCTCCCTTTTCAACAGCAGATTTCATGGTAGTCTTTATCCTCTCTACTTGGCCATGGCCTTTCACTCTTCAAATGTTATATAAACGTTCATCAATAAATACCGTATGGAATAATTGACCGTCGCGGTTCTCGTCGTCTGCTTACACCACAAACATGATATAAGAATGAGCCACGAATTTATGTTGCTTGTTATTCACCAAACGTACGGGACCATTTGTAACCATATGTTTACGGAGCTGCAAATATTCGGACTGTTTCACCCCTTTTTACTTTGAATAACAACTTTCCTCATTATAGAGACATAAGCTCGTTTCAAAAACGCCTCAACATTAATAGTAAGTACCAAAACTTGAAGCAAACAACATCTTGCTGCTTCGAACTCATGGAATGAATATTTTAGAGAATAAGATAATGCTTGCTTTATTGGATAAATTTTATTGTTTCTTCGAGTTTCTTTTTTTGCATTTCATTTGCATTTTGCATATATTTAATGAAAGGAGAACATAACTCTTTTGTTTAGTAACACTACCTATCGTTTTTAGGATTAAATTTGATAGATATCTGGCCATTTGTTCAAATAATCAAGTGGAACAAATACTTAGAGACATGCATAAAAATATTATATTAAACTTCAGTTTTTGGATTTTATTAACTACGAGGCATCATGGTGAGGAGTTGCCTTTTCTACGAAGTTGAACAAGTCTGTACAAAACCAACAAGTTTCAAAAAATTTGAGGTTGTTCAAAGCAATGTAAATTTGTTGTTTTAAAGACATATTCTCAATTGCTTGCATATGTATTTGTTGATGAACAATCAAGATTGTCGTTAACTCCGACTGCTGCTGAACAAGAAATGGAATTTATGACCTTAAAAAAAAAACTTGATGAAAATATTCCCGCTTAAAACAGCTAAAGTTAACAATGTTTCCGGTTGTTTTTATTCATAGCAAATCATCAAGAGAGAGTCAACAAAACTGTAAAAAAGTAAAATATCGAAAGCAATGGTGCTTACATTCGTAGAACGAAGTGTTGAAGATGCTGCAACCATAAACTTGACGACTTTATGGTCATTCCCATTTTAAACGTTAATTGATGTACAAAAACCTGTAAAAATTATGGTATCGACAGCAACGGCGTTTTTGTTCTTTTCTGTTTAATTGAATCGTAATTTTTCTTTTTTTGCAAAAGTTTGAAAAGTTCCACTCAGTGTTGAAAATTGGAAGATTCAACAATAAGTGCAACTTTTTCATTGCTGTCGTTGCAAAGTGCAAATTGCAATCGTAGCCGTGTATGAAATGAATCCTTTCGCATACTTCCTCGCTCGAGTATAGGGAAACAAGTACCAAAAGTAAAGTCAAGATTTTCTCACAGTCGAGCAATTTTTTTTCTTTCTTGGTACATTAAAGGTTGAACAGGATTATATACCATAAAAAATCCATACATACATCGAAGCTTGAGTGGCGAAGTGGTAAGCGGATTCGCTTATCAACCCCGCGACACAAGGTTCGAATCCTGCCAACCTGAAAATTACGTAAAATCTCTATTAAGTAGTAAGTGCTACATAATGTATTTCACTGACAAAGATTACGCACCAATACGAAATACACCGGGGTCGCTGGTTATCAATGAAGTTGCCCGCTACCATAGTATATTGTTTGTTACAATTTTTATAATTTTTCTCCGTTGGCTGTTCAAAATGAACGGTGAAGTTAACAACGTAAATCTTACCTCCTCTTTCATGCATTTAATATGTAGATTCTTCTTTGTTAAGTATTTAATATTGTCCTTCGCTTCTTTTTTTCCAAAGTAAAAACAACTCTCAGTTTTTTGGTTGTCATGTCTAAAATCAAATGCATGAATAATTTATTTATCTAGAGGAGACAAAAGACATGAACAGGAGATGAGAGGCATAGAGAGAAGAGAAGAGAGAAGAGAAGAGAGAAGAGAAGAGAGAAGAGGAGAGAGAAGAGGAGAGAGAAAAAAGAGAGAAAAGGAGAGAGAGAAGAGAGAGAAGAGAGAGAGAAGAGGAGAGAGAAGAGGAGAGAGAAGAGTCAAGAGAAGGAGAGGTATCAAGATTATTGGAACAGATTAGAAACTACAAACTTCAACTCAATATTTATACTAAATAGCTCTACAAAGTAAGTGAAAAACTGCTCAGACATCTGCACATCCAATGATTTGTGATAATTAAACATCAAAAAGTGCATCCTAAATTTTTCCATTAAAAATTAACAAAATACAAAATGCATGTGCTACAGTCAACTTGTAATACATTTCAAACACAAACTAGATTAACTTTATTCATCCTAGGTAGATCTATCAGCTCTAAACTGAAACCCAGTAAAACATCTTAGATTAAAACTGAAATGGACTAGACAATAGTTCCAGTAGCCAATAGCCGCAGTTCCTTAATTATTAAAGTTACAACACACATTATGCATAAACATTCCATGCGACCATAGTTCAATACATAAAAGAACCGATCTCAAACAATTGATGAATCTTTTAATACAGCCAAAGTGGGCTGAAACATGTTTATATTACACTTAGTTGTAGTTCATTCATGGTATGCCAAAACCTTAAAAAACTAAAACTGTTAAAGAAAACAGAGAATTCTTTAAGTTGACATGGTGTTTGAACCAGCAAGGATGGTGGTAAGTTCGATACTAAAGCTATAACGGTTTTATAAATCATTTACAATTTTTAGTTACAACAGTAAACATACAGATAGGTAATTCATACGAAATACTTTAAAAATTGAAAGATCCCCCCATACTCTGTGAACTACATAAGTTAGACATGTAATATAAAGATATTAAAATACATTTGAGGCAAATTGTCCAATAAAACCTTGAAGCCACATTTCATGTGTAAATGCGTCAATTTCTGGTTGTTTGGTTGAATTTACATTTTCAACTTGTAAAATTTAAGCTCATGAGGTGCAGCCTTTAGGACTACACACTTGAAAGTTTGAGTTATACCCTGAAATTTGACCAAAAGAAAATAAAATTTGATTGATTTTGCAAGGAATTTGAGTTTAGTGCAGTTTCAATGGACATAGACACCATTACTATTGAATTGAGTGAAAATGAATGCTGCGCGGCGCGTGGTCCACCATAGATGAACAATCAGTCCTAAGGCTGATTGTTAGATCAATTATTATAAAGAAAAAGCCTGGAGGGCAGAAATTTTTAGAAAGTTTAGCCTCTTAACATTACTGCGTGCATTAGATTTTATAAATAATTATTGCAAATACCATTTCATCATTGAATTTTTCGCTTACTTCAAAGTTCAAAATGTCTTCGGCGCGTTGCTGCTGTTCCTTCCAACTTCAAACATTTGTCGACGACAATTTCACGTATTTGGATGTATAACAACAGTAAATAAAGCATTTTGAAGTAAACCACGCAAAAAACTATGGCAATGTGACAATATGTTTGAAAATTTCATCTTGTACCAGCAACTCAAATGAACATTGACCGGACGATAACTTCCGTAGTTCAGTGGTTGGTGCCATGATGGGAGGAAGAAGACAACAATACTTAAAATTTGTCAACTCCCCCTGAAATAAAGCCTGTGCATGTCCCTTAGAAATGAGAAACATAATCGGCAAGAATGAAGAATGATTCGACAAACTGTTTGTCACAAACTGTTCGGTATAAAATAGACAAAACAGCTATTATTTTAAAAACATTTTCGGTATTATTTAAACTAAATAGTCTACTATATAATACATTTATGCATCTTTTTTGGCGTCGTTCATGTCTTTTCACGTTTAGTTAAATGTTCGTTGATTCTTTTTTCCCAGTGTTTATTTAATTTTTTGCTCCAAATGATAATACATACACGAAACTTACGCGAGGTATGGCGATATGTACATTTTCTTTTTCATCTTTACTTAAAAAATAGATTGCATTTAGTGTTATACATACACGGATATGACGGCATTTGTGATAAGAACTAAAATAAAACCAAAAAAATCCCATATTTCCCTGACAAACAAAATTTTTATGTTTTTCCCAACACTAGGAAAATAAAAAACTAAAAAAAGTAAGATTTTTTATGTATCACGCGTACATGATCTATGGGATTGAAGAAATACTATTGGCTAGCTTTAGCCACGTGGCTAACAGAATAAACAAGCAAAGACCACCCACAACCACCCACATTTTTCTGTCACATGATAATTTGGTGAAATATTTGTCCACTGTTTGACTTCTGCGCATGCACGTAAATAAGTAGAACCCACGCTTTTCACAAACCGTAATTCCAAGAGCTTAATTGTTCATATAATTACGAAAAGCTACCTACGTTGGAAGCAAACTCTGGTTTTCCTTCAATCCGCGTATAAATCTTTCGCCTTTTACTAAAGATTTCCGTGGAGGAGAACAACAGAATGAGTCTATAGACTAATTTTTCTTCACCCTGCCGTCCCCTCAACGGCGGGGTCTTCATCTAACTAGTAAATCTGAAGCAATGTCTGAACAGTGAACACCCATCTAACTCCTTATTCGGTACCACGCAGTATCGACTACTTCGGGATTAGGCGCGGTATTAGGTGGTATCGATACCAAAAAAATTGGCAATCGCCCACAAACCCACTACTGCTGTGGGCTTGGTAGCTCAACAGGTAGAGCGGCGGACTAGTAATAAAACATATCAGAATTAATATGTTATTGTGTCAGTGCATTTAAAACCGTATCAGAATTAATATGTTAATTCTCTGACTGATTAATTTTGTTGAAATTGTGTTATCGAAGACGAAGTATAAATCAACGTTTTCAACTTTTAAAACCGTGTTTTTCTTTTCTTTTCTTTTTGCTAAAATACGTCAACCACTTCAATTAGGTCTTCTTAATGTGTTCGTTTGCCAGTTTAGGGATAAATTAATTTCATATATTGATATATACAGAAGACTAGGTCTAGTAGATAGAATAGTTTTGAACAACTAAGTCAATAAAAATTGAAGTTTTTGAATACTAATTTTTATTTGGGAGAATTATTGTTTTCCACTTTATAATCCTGACACCAGACTGCAGTGTGTGTATTTTCCGAACGGAAAATTTTTTCACATAAAATTTGACTAGTATTGTTCAAATCTAGTTTTTCGTTTGAAAATTTATAATTATGAAAATGATGTTTATATTTTTATTTTTTCTTTTAGTGCAAAAAAAATAGAACAACTGCAAACATACAAACACGGCTTTACCTCCCCCCACCGGGTTTGTGGTACGCATCATCAATGACTGTGGGCTCAAAAATGATCATTGGCGGGAAAATTGAATTACAGTATTAAGTTGAAATCAAAAGCTGTCGACGCGGGCATACTTAGACGTTTCTGTGGATATTTATCATAGTTTTGATTTATTTTCTACGATATTTGATTCGTTTTAAGCACCGAAGGAAAGATAAAGAGGTAGGGAAAGTAGTTTACTGTAGTAGTTCTTCACGTCACCCTTTAATTCACAGATATTCTGTTTTCCAAGCGGCACATTTGCACAAAGTCACAGCCGCGTTTATTTTAAATTAACAACGATGCCTTGTTGGAATTTTGACTTCTTTGCACATGTATATTAATGATATTGTCTTCAAACTATAATATGTCTCATAATTTTCAAGAAGCATTGAAAGAAAATGGCGAAAAAAAATGAAAAAAATATTTCAAATTCGAACTCTAGTGACAACTTCTTGTGGAATTCAAGTTCAAAATTATTTGCTTACCTGATCGCAGGCTGCCGGAAAAATAATCAAATTTTAATACATCATTGATCTCTATGTCTTGATCAGGATGTAGTATGAATCGTGCGAAAATCAATTCAGATTATTGCACACATAAAATTTTCTCAAACAAACACTATAACTTTATTACACTATCATCTATACCATCCGCTAAGTTCCGCATGACTGTTCAAAAATCTTTTACACCGATATGCATGTACGCAGTGCGTACCTACTTTTGTAAAATCGTTCGTTGTCAAACTTGTCAACGATATGGCTGAAACAAACCAAGGAGGTATTCAGGGGATTTTCAAACTCAGTACCCGTCCACAACAAGAAGTCGTAAACAGACATGACCTGAGTATGGCCCTTGAACCGGATGGCTTGAGTACTCGCGTTTACATTGGTGAATGTACAAATTGTCAGATGACATTGGCTAAGAAAGCCGCGAATATTTTGATTGAGAATTGTAAAGATCTTGTGCTGACAATGTCCGCCCAATTGGTGTCTGGTACACTAGAAATTGCCAAAAGTTCAAACATCCTCGTAAAAATATCACCCAACATCAAGGTACAAGAAAATTACAATCATATTCACTAGAATATCCCAAAGATTTATGGCTTCTAATACTTTTTTTGAATTTCCCGAATTTAGATTCCAACAGTGACAGCTGACAGCACAACAGGACTGAAGATCATCATGTTGGAGAATGAAGATCAAATAGAAAATTTATATTTTCATAGGTCTTCAAACTTGCTCCTTGTCCAAGGAGAAGGCCTTGAAAGAAAGGAGTACATTGCTTTGCCACCTTCCAATGCTCCCGAGGATCTTCAGTTTATTTCATTCTGGGAAAAGGGTGAGAATGGGATCGAACTCAAGACAGAAAAAGTGGTTCGAGAGGGTGTATTTCCAAAATCCGAAGGAGAATTCCTCAAAGCCAAGGAAAGAGATCGAAAGAATGCAGAAATGGCTTTTAACTTCTTGGAAAGCCAAATTAAGATTGCCATGAAGAAATAACATTCTGTTAACTTGCACGATCAAGGCTCTGGTTAATAATTTTTATCACACATCACCATAAATATTGAAGTGAATATAATCATGTAGTACTAGCTAATTTAGTAGACAAACACATAAAAGATTATGTACATCCAAAGTTAACAGTTTGATTGTTTGAGATTTCATTACTCATTAGAAAGATCAATTTGCAATACTTCAAGTAAATTTCATATTAAAAATATCACTGTATGTTGCATTTTTAATAAATCACAAATGCACAATATGTTAGTCATGAATATATTAAACTAATTGCTTGCTCTAAGCTGGAAACAGCTTGACAAGCATTAGCTGTGTCAGTGACAGTGAGATTAATTAAGGTAATAAGATGAATTGGCCAATAGTTTGTACAGAGGAAATTTCAGGATATGAAGAATTTGATGCCATATATTTGTAGTATTTTAGAGGCACATTTTATTACATAATTTACATAATTACCAAAATTGTTATGAACGAATCGTGCAAAGCGTGCAAAAAGCGCGAAATCATGACTGTGAAGTGTGATATCTGTAAACAGATATCTCAATAAAAAATTAGTAAAAAACGAAATAATAACAGATTGACAATGTCCTTTTGAATAAACGTTTGTATAAATGATCATCGAAGCAGAACGTTAACATTACACTGACGCCGCCGCAATACAATTCATTGTCAGCGTGTACTATACTGGACAATAACAGGCATAACAATTAAAACACTGCAATACAATCACAGCAATAAAATCACTTGCAATTGTACATCATTGAAAAAAGACGAGAAAAGAAAGCACAGAAGCGCACGTGGCCTTCACGAGTCGTCATGACGTACAGAATTGGATTGGACATTCAAGCGTCAAAACGACGAGAGCGCAGAACGAGAACTTGGAGTTGAGGATTCATTTTACTTTGAAAGCATATATTAGCCTCTGCACGGGCGATTGGTTTTAAATCAAAACGCGATTGGCAACATCGCAATAAGCTCAACACTTTATTTCCGTTGACGGACTAATAATACTTTTCTCGATACTGTGATTCTGTGAAAAGTTGTCGTTGGTTCCTCTTGGGCGATAAGATCACTGCTACGTATAGTACGGCGTGCATTTCTAATTCTAAAGACGATGGGTAAACGCGGTTTCATGTTTCCATTATGCCTATTTCGGAAAATCGTCTGTTACAAATTTCCATCATATATCGTGACCTTGTTTAGAGGTTAAGTCACGCACGGGCATCTTTTGTGAATTATGACAGCAACAATCGTTTATTTTGCCCTATTGCCCACGCTGCTGCAAGCCTTTATCTGTTGTGTGGAGGTTATGCGAGATATCAAATCCATAGACCTCTGATATATCATATTGACGTCAATTCACTAGTTATAAATTGGCTCAAATGCTACCATAACACCACACGAGGATATTTTAGAGAATTCTTCGTCATGTTTCTGGTTTTGCCGAGCACGCTGCCCCCCATCAAATCCGGGCAGCAGACATATAACCGTCGTCATACCTTCGGATATTTGACTCCCGGATACGAAAGGCTATAATCTCCATTTGCTTCTAGCTTGTTGTCGTAATTGCAGAATCGCCGATTCGAAGCACTTTGTTTTATGGCAATAAAATTAAATTGTATTGATCAACGACTTGAGAAGGGAGAACTACTTTTTCGTTGGCAACATTTGAAACGCCTGTAATTGTCATTGTTGTTGCGACCCATTTGTAGCTCGCACAGCTGGTTCGTTTGATTGGTTTGTAGCAACAACGAGAAACTTTAGCCGTATCGTGAAGCCCATACGGAAAAAAGCTAGCATCTTGTGGTTTGATTCGCCTGTATAATTTATAGTTAGAGAGTATACTATCAATTTCAGACGGAGGCATGAATTATATATCGAGTGGACGTTCGGATAACGAATTTCTTTTATCGGATGAACGAGAGAGCACTAAAAATGAACACGAAGACACGTCGTTTAAGGACGCAACTAAAATGCACGCGGAGAAAGCGATGCTACTTGCTAATACCGACGACAGTCACCCGTCGAACGAAACAGAAAACAAAAGCGCTTCCATGAAATCTTATGGGGATTATCTTGCTACAGACGTTACCGATCTGCAAGATTTGTATACAGTTACACCTACTTCTCAAGCGTGGGTTGCATTCGACGATTGTGAAAATAATGCACAATACAACAGAAGGCCAAAACTACGAGAACCAGAAAAACTACACGGGTCATCGGACGAAAGTCCTACGTGCATCACATCAAACGAGGACAAATGGGTAAAATTTGAGTCGGAAGATAAAAGCTACACAACCGATAATGGCCGTGAAGAATCAGTTAGCAACACGAACGCTCAGTCGAATTGCGCTGAAGATGGCAAATTGCAACAGTTTGATTGCATTGAGCCACAAAAAGAGGTAGTAAGTGTTCTGTTAGATACGAAGGAACTGAAATTCGATAGCTCCATCTCAAAAACTTTAAAAAACGTAGAGGGCATTACTGACGCTAATTTGCGTAGCACAACATCTGGATCTTCGCATGCTACGCCAGTGTCGATTTCGGTTGACGCAACAGACTCAAAAGTGGAAACTTTTGAAGAAGGCATTCATGAACCATTACCAGCATATCCTCAGAAATCCTTCAGCACCACGTGGTCAATGTTGCTCAGGTTCCCAGATGCAAAGAGACCTCTCCGCAGTCGTGAGTGGCGTCCTGTGATCATAAAACTGAATGGATCAATTCTTCAACTGTATCATGAACATGAGTCTTCACCTTTTCGCGAGGTGTCCCTGCAATGTTTTTATGATCTAACCCGTCCCAGTCTACAGCAGCAGCATGATCATAAAGTGCACACAGTTAAAATTTTGTATGTCAAATACAAGGAGGTCAATAAGCTGATGTCAAAGAAGGATGTCCATTATATTGCAAAGAAAACTCCCATATTGAAGGTAGCATCACACTCCTACACAAAGATTCAGGAATTCATTGAGGTTGTGAGACAGGCAATTCGTTCCTTGCCTATATTCAGAGATCGAGGCATCTGCCACAATACCGAAGCTGTGTATATCAATGTTCATGATACATGCTCAGCGATCATCGATGAAGCTGGATCAGTAGTGATGTTGGGGATACTAGTGCGAATATTTATGTGCGCATTCATCAGTGGTAATGCAGAGTGCGAATTGGTCCTTAATGATATCAATGTGAAAAGCAAAGAGGAGTTGAGACTTCGCAATGAGTACATGCCTCAAAGGGTACACAAATGGATCAAGCTGGAAGAGTGTGACTTTCATAGCACTGTCAATTCCAATATGTACAACCAAAATCGCTCCATCACACTCAATCCCCTAGATTCTTGCACATTTGAAGTGATGCAATATCGTGTTCGCCCAGCCAAACCTCTGCCTCTGCTTGTCAAGTGTGAACTTATCATGGATGCTCAAAGTTGTGTTGAACTTCGTGCAGAAGTAAAGTTGTGTGATGACACAAAACTTTCAAAGTATCCAAGAAAGAATGTACGACTTTATTTGCCTATTCCCGAATCTTGGGTGCAACTGTTCATGAAGGAAAAATTATTCTTTGGTGAGAAAAGCATCAAGTCGACAAACTCTCACAAAGCAATCAAAATGAGAAATAGAAAGAATCGACCACTAACAACCATAGAGACATCCACTGGCATTGCAAAGTATGAGCCTGCATACAAAAGCATTGTATGGCGTATCCCTAGTCTACCCCTCCTGAACACAACTGCTCCAGCTGATTGTACTCATGATTTCCTATGTTGTATCCAAACCTCGGACAGTGTCCCTCATGACTACAATCCAACATGTGCTATGGAGTATGAGATACCTTACACAGTTGCTTCCGATACCAATGTTGTGAACTTCAAGGTGCTAGATAAAAAAATTGCTCTCAAGGAAGTGACTTATCACACTACATATTCTTATGAAATAATGATGAAAACCACCTATCTTAATGATAGCATAAATCATCATAAATAATATTGCTTGTACAAAGCATGCAAAATATGTTTGCTTGTATTTACCAGTTTTTATAACCATTTTGTCTAAACAATCTTTAGAATCATCTCCCCTTGACGAAGTTGCTTTAAAAATAGTGGACGGATAATTGCTAGAGTTCAAATTTTAAATTTAAATTGCAAATGAGATGCTCACTTGCAGATGAATAGAGAAATTTTATGTAAATAACATAACTTGATCTTCCAATTATGAAATATCTTGATGTAGCCTCTCATTGTGAACATTATGCTGTCCTGGTATACCCATAGATTGAGTACTCTCAAATGTACAAGTGGTTGCCAATAATAAAATGATTGGTTGATATGTGGAGGAATCAATTACATTTTAGATAAAATAACCACACGTTTCGTTTTTCTTTTCTAACAGTTTTCTTTCATATCCGCTGTGAGGGGTAACCATCAAAGTCCTTTATTGCCCATGGATGTACCAGGGTGTATTCACCTCCATGACACAATTTCTCAATTACGTTCATGATTACATAAAGTATTAACTTTTTGAAGGATCAAAGATGGCCACAGCTCAAGGAGGAGGGAAAGTTGAAAATTCTCAAACCTCCGCTAAAGCTGTCCTACGAATCAAACGAAAACGAAGTTCTGATCCCGCAGACATACTTCGTAAGTTTATTTTACACTGCTTTAGTTCGATATTTTGCTTAGAAACGGTGGAAATTCACATAGGTTTCCTGGTTAGGTGACTTATGTATGTATGTTTTTACATGGATGTAGATTACATGAATGTAGATCGTCCAGGTTAGTAGAGTCCTGAGACCGAGGACTGTTTTTGTTGGTGTTGACTGTCTGTGACTCTGAAGATGACTACCGCTAAGGTTGTCAAAATGTCAGTCAACACCAACAGCAGTCCTTCTCAGGACTCTACTAACCTGGACGATGCACCTACATCAACAAACATTTAACGATACTCCCGCGTTGAAATCATTTACTTTAGTATGTGTTTATATTAAATTACTTACTCAATTTTTTAATTGCTTTCTTTTTGTACACTTGTTTATTGAATTATGCAACTTGATTTAGTGGTATCTCATGCTTTCAAAAAGAAGTACACAAATGAAGATCACCTGGCATCGACAAATTCAGGTTTTGAAAGTTTTGAATACACTATAATTAGTTCATATGAAAAAAGTCTGCAGCATTTTTTTATATTGATTTGTGTAACCACTGGCTTAACCCCCACCCTATGCCTTAGTAAGAATGTCAGAGCTCATATCCAACAAGACGATGCCAAATATGGAAAGTTTGGCAGATGCATGCACACTCAATGTTTTTGGTTTTTAAAAAAGTTGCACACTTGGCTCATTGCTGTCTTTCTAAGTTCCAGGAATATTTAGGCAGTTTCAAATATGGGGAATTGCCAGTGTGGGGGACATTTTATAATCCCTAAAGAATGATGCATTTCAAAGGAAACTAATACAGCATATCATGCAAATATGAATATTCTCTCCTAAATTTTCATTAGAACTATTTACGTGCCTGTCTTAAGTTCATTTGCCACACTTTTTCTCAATGTACACTTTCTTTTACCATACTAAAGACATCATTGTAAACTGCCATACTTTCCATACATATTTTACAAGATAATCTCTATAAGATTGAATTGTTTAGTCAAGTTTGAAATATAATTTTTACAATCATGTATTTTTACATGTCTGTAAATGTAGATCGTCCAGGCTGGTATAGTCCTGAGAAGGACTGTTTCTGTTGTTGTTGACTGACGTTTCGACAACCTTAGCGGTAGTCATCTTCAGAGAATTCTTTTTGACTCTGAAGATGACTACCGCTAAGTTTGTCGAAACGTCAGTCGACAACAACAAAAACAGTCCTTCTCAGGACTATACCAACCTGGACGATCTACATCTACAAACATGTAACGATACTCCCGGGTTCAAACCATTTACTTTATTACAATCATATATTTTATTTGTATTTCATTATAAAACTAAAGTTGATTTGCATCTAAGTATTATCCATATTGTATCATATTTCTGCCTCAAATGCGTCATTGATCCTGGGACATACAAACCCTAAGTCTCAGACACACCGGTGCATGGTCTAAAAAATTGTAGGGTGTTCTACGTACTTGGACCAAGTGCATGTATATGATAGAAAAGCCTACCATTTTAGTCAAATCGATTTTTTATTCCAACATTTCCACTTGTTGAATCATTATGCGATAATGTTACATTTTTTTCAGCTGTTCAACGAATATTTCGACTGGCAGGAACAGTTTCTGAAAATACGGACAAGGAGATTTTGGTAAATCAATCTTTGCGCTTCTCGTTATTTCAACGATACTACCAAATTTTGACGTTTTTCCATTTTCCAGACAAAACTCGCCTCCATCAACAGTCACAAATCGAAAGTAAAAGAAAATCCGAAAAGTGAATTGACTGTGGACTCGATTTGCGAGAAGTTAAAGGACACGAAAAAAGTGCGTTGTTGATAATTAAAGATGTCCAATAGACAATTACGTAGTATTCAATATAACTATGTACTTGTTTCTCTCCTGTTTAAAGTTATCCAGGCAAACATCACGATATAAAATAGTATCGAAACAAAGGGACGTTGAAGAAAATGAGGAGAAAGCCTGCGACGAGGTAGATGGCTCGGCCCTTGAGATGCTACGACTGTACCAGTTGTATGATGTTGTCTTGGACAGTACTGAGCACAGGTGAAGCTTTAATATTTCGATATAGTTTTGTGGGGTTTTTTTGGAGATATTTGCCGATAAAAGGCTTGAAACCAATGTTGTGCACCGGAGACGAAGCCGGAGTTGAGATGAAAACTCATGCTCCGACATTGAGATTTTTGAAAACATGCAAGTGATCGAATGAATGTCGGAATTTCAACAAACGTACGAAGTTAGCTATTGCATGTTTGTTAAAGTAGATCGTCCAGGTTAGTAGAGTCCTGAGGACTGTTGGTGATGATGTTGACAACCTTAGAGGTAGTAATGTGAAGTGAACCACAAAGGTAGATCAACAAACATGTAACGATACTCCCGGGTTCAAATCTCACACGTAACTAGTACGAAGTTATTGTTGAAGAAAAAAGTAAAAACTTTCACAAATTTAGAGTATATCCATGCTAAGACAAGCCGTAGTCTCCCATCGAATTTAAAGTCTTTTAAAAAAATCTTTGCTTCATTCAAAACAAAAATTGCAAAATTATTTGTTACAATATTTGGAAGACCGGTCAATATTAGTACCGCCACAAGGACAAATGCCCACACCTACACCTCTGGTAATATCTTCTTTCACATGTCTTTCATCATCAAAGGGCGTCTATAAGCACGTTTTTTCTCTGGCTGGGACTGTAGTTACCGAGAAACGATATGCTCCACTATCAAATTTCATGAATTCTCCTACCTAAAACATTCTACCAGAGCTGAAACACGTAGGTTTTAACTGGAGACGGAGGCTTTTGGTAGAAGCGTGAGTTTTCTGGCCAGAGACTAGGTTTTCTGGCCGGAATCGGATCCCTGTTCCCTGATCAATACAGTACTCCATAGAATGTTGGCACTTTTCATGTATTCTTGTATAGAGATGAAGAAGTATATTCTGATAAAGAAGATATTGATCCAAATGCTATCCTTTGCAATTCTGTGAAAATGATTCGCGAGAAACTAAAAATCACTGAAGGTTTGTTGGACTATCCTATTTTTACAATGCCATTCTTACCAAAACTGCCCACTCCCGTCAAACTTTTTCCGTTTATTTATACTAATTTATGGACGGGATAGATTGACTTGTAAACTCATGAACGTTAGAGACTACTCCTCCTCTCTCACACTTCTTCAGTTTAGGTAAAGGGTTTGTCTGGATCGGTCATAAAATTATTCGTAAACAAAGTACACGGTTCTTTGATAGTCTTGAAATCACGGGTCATAACTGACAAAAGACGAAATGAGCGACGACCCCATGGAGTGTAAAATCTTATATTTTTAAGTATTTATACATGAATTTTTCCATAAACCGCTCGACACACGCATAGTCTCTCCTTATGCTTAAACCCATTCCCCCTTTATACAACCACCTCCTCCTCAATTCACTCCCTCCCTCAATCCACTTTCTGACGGTACATACACGTGTGAAAAATACAAGATCAAATTACAAAATTCGGACAATCAAATGGTCGGACATAGTATTGTTTATGTAGTATTCAGAACGATTATTTATAAAGTCAGAAGGCAGAAAAGTAAATGTTAACCATTTTGGGTTAGAAAAAAGCGTAACGATCAAAGAAAAGCTTGAGTACTGGCATGTTGTCGCGCTAACGACTTTTTTGTAAGGATTTTTATGTGGCTTTACGGCTGTCGTTCATCACGAGAGAGTTATGAGAAAGTTACATAGTAAAAGGTGACAACTAAAAAACGTATAAATAGGTTTAGAGTTGGTATAAGTATAAGTGAAAAAGGAAGACGTTGTTTGAACCTTTGCAGTATCCTTGGATGTTCTAGTTTCTTTTATGAGAAGAATTCTTGTAAAGAAAAAAGACAAATTTTAAAAACAAAAAATCCCGTTTTTGGTCCATGCCTCCCGATGCCCCGAGATAGTTGAGCACTAGAGCGTCGCATGTTAATTAAGGGAACTAGATTATCCTTTTTTGCCATGAAGAAACAGTAAATGAGAGAGTTAAATCAGAAAGATATAAATCAATAAAAATTGTATAAATTAAGGTTGTCTTAAATTATAAGTGCCAGAAAAATCCCAGTGTCAAAGAAGTTAATTAAAACATTGCTTGGTTTATTTTATGAATATTGGTTTATTTTGTAAACAAAAAGATAAAATTCAAAAGCAAAAAACCCCGTTTTCGGTCCATGCTTCCCGATACCTTCTTAAGCGCAAGGCACTAGAACGCCGCATGTTAACGTTTCGGTAGGAGATTTCGGCCCCTCCACGCTATCCTACTTGGGAGATGCAATAGCAAGCTTCCGCCCATCAGACCCCGAGATCACCTGCGATAGGCTTTGCTCGGGGTACGCAGGGAGAGTGCGGTCGCCACCGAAGTGTGGGCCCCTAAGCCACTGCATACTATATCGCACCCAGCTTCCACTGCTAGTTGACATCTACAATACCTAATATTAGCTTTATATATATATACATAAATTCAAAGGCTTACGAAAGTTGTGGTATTATTAAAGTCACCACTGCGCATGCTCAGATGATTTCTTTGATAACTTGCGTCTAAGTGAGCTTCGTGCCCTAAATGTAGTGCAAGTGCATGTAGTTAGTCGTTGCCATGACTATTAACAATTAGTCGGGTCAACTGCGCATGATCGAGCGCATGCGCAGATGATTTCTCATTTAAATTGATACTAAGCATGCCAATTACTTCAAAATCGCTGCTAGTAGATGCAGTTGGTCGTTGCCATGACCATAAACTTGTGCAGCTAGTCAAGTCGACTGCGCATGCTTAAGAGGACTGCGCATGCTTAAGCGGACTGCGCATGGGCGAATAAATTATGTTAAAATTTGTGACTGAGCAAGCTAATTACTCCATAATCGGTATTAGTACATACAGTTGGTCGTTGTCATGATCATGATCTTGAAGAGTTGGTGGAGTTGACTGCGCATGCTCAGATTAATTCTCAATTAATTTGTGACAGAGCAAGTTCTGAAATTGGTGCTTGTAGATGCGCTGAGCAAGTTCTCTATCATATATTTATGGCATGCTCTTTGTCTTCTTAAGCTTGTTTTTACAAATTCATATTGAACTCATTAATACTATATCCGACCATTTGATTGTTTGAATTTTGTTTTTGATTCATTTTGACATTGTGAAAGTTATTTTCCTCCACTCACTCCTCAATTCACTTTTCTCCTCACTCATTTCATTTCATTTTCCTTCCTTCTTTCCTCATTTCTTCTTTCATTCACTCTTTCTTCCTTCATTTCACTCCCTTCCTCTCTTTCCATTTCCCTTTCTCATTTCATTTTTCCTCTTTCATTTCTTTCCTTTTCCTCCTTTCTTTTCTTTTCCTTATTTCCTTTTTCTTCAATTATTCCTTTCTCATTTCCATTTATTTTCTTGATTTCCATTTTCATTTCCTTTGATTTATTCATTTCTTTTCCTGATGATCCTTGATCCATGATGATGATCTCGATTCATTTTCAATCCCTCAATTCCTCCTCCATTCCTTCACGATTCACATGATTCCATTTATTTCCTCAATTCCTGATCCTCATTTTACGATTTTGACTCATTCCTCGATTCCTTGACGATTTTTCCTCATTTATGGATTTTTTATTTCTTCCTCATTCCGATCCTCATCCTCGATCCTCATTTATTTTCCTCATGATGACTGATTCATCTCGATCCTTGATTGATCTTCGATGATCACTTCCCTCAATTTCATCCCTGATTTTCATTTATGATTTATGATTCCTCTCCTTGATGATTCTCGATTTCCCGGATCCATGGATGATTGATTTTCTCCATGATTCTGATTTTTCCTCCATTTCCCGACCATGATTCCGATTCCTGATTCCATTCCTGATGATCATTCATCCTTTTCCTCCATCATTTTTCATTCCTTTCCTCATTTGATTTCCCTCATTCCTCCTTCCTCCATCCCTCATTTTTCATTTCCTCATTCCTTCCTTACCATTTTTCCTCATCAATTCCTCTTTCTTTTCTCCCTCAATTCCTCACCTCCCCTCATTTTCTCCCTCAATTCATCCCCTCTCAATTCACTCAATTCTCTTTATCATTAATCAATTTGCCTGGTTAACTCCCTCCCTCAATACATCCATAATACCCCCTACGATTTCTATCTATCGCGACGGTGTAGAAGTTATTTTCATACCAATCTCTTTAGGTGCCAAAAGTAATTTGGATATTCTCGAAGGGGATTACGTTTATGATGTTTATTGTGCGGATGACAATTTTGGAGTATTGTCCGAGATGTATGTGTCTTGTTGACGTTTTCTTCCATTTTTGAATTCAGCGAAAAATTCTCTGTGTTTTATGTCGTGTGTGATCAAGCAACGTCTGACCTTGCATTTTCTGACAAACCAAAATAACTTTTTGAATGATGTAGTTTTGTGTAGTTTATGAATATATTTCCTAATTTAGCCTGGACATCGTCCACTTGAATGAAAACGAGCTTGTCAATGAACTCTCCGATGATGAAACGAACATTTACGATGATGACGACGATTCAAATGGTGAGAGTTATAATAATATTTGTTGCCTCAGCCGCGTGACTGGAATTATAAAAAATACATACGAACGTCAAGGCGGTAATTAGTGATCATTTGGGTCATAATGGGATAATTTTATTTTTAATGAAAGCATTTGGTCGTTATTATAGTTACTGAATAAATTTGCGTTAAGTCGGTTTTTTTTTCAAAACATTCTTTGTTTTTCTAGCGAAGTGCTACGTAACAACTGTAGTTTACGATGCAATCAAAACAACTTGATGACATTCCCTATTTGAGACCAATAAAATGTTGAGCGTACAGCGACTTTATTCGAAACAATCGTTCAAAGATATTTATTAGATGCAAATGTCCTTCGGCCATGCCCTGTTTGTTTTGAGTTTTGCTTTCCTTGACGTCATCGTTTCCATATTTTATACAAAGGGAACTTTACCACCAGCAGAAAAAATTATAAAGATTCCATTGATCGTATTGGCTTGCGAAGCCTGCCCAGTTCACATATCATTGTAATTATTTTAATTTCATTGGCGATATACTTACCGACTGTAATTATTTTAATTTCATTGGCGATATACTTACTGACTGTAAAGCCCGCCACACACTGGTAAACTTGCCGCGCGTACTTGTTATTCGTGACAAGTGCGATCGACAGAATTTCCTTAGGCGTTAACATTTGTCATTCGTGACAGATGAGTCTAATATCAAACGCGTTTGACATTAGACTCATCTGTCACGAATGACAAATGTTGTTCAAAACTTCCGCGCACACTAGGAACTTTTGTCGATCGCACTTGTCACGAATAACAAGTACGCGCGGCAAGTTCACCAGTGTGCGGCGGGCTTAATATACGTGAGCAAAATACAGGGGGTAGACGGGGCCACTTATGAAAATCAAATGTTTACTTAAAATGAATTGACGTCGCTGTAGTACAACGAAAGCTCGTACAGAACATTTCATTGCTAAAATAATAAAAAAATCAGTCTTTGAGGTAATTAGAGCTCTCGCGAAAACCAGGTGAAGGAAATACGCAACTTTTATTTTTGTGCTCGTTAAGCCTGGTCCTCGAGAGAATCAGGCTTGAACATAAACACAAGATTATCAAAACTCTCCGTTCCTCTCTTGCGTAGTTATGCTTATGTTTGTAGCAGGTGAAGACACTTGTGCTTATGCTTATGTCGCAAGTTAGGGCCAGGCTTTACAACGCTACTGTGAAACATTTAGCCCGCCACACACTGGTAAACTTGCCGCGCGTACTTGTTATTCGTGACAAGTGCGATCGACAGAATTTCCTAGTGTGCGCGGAAGTTTTGAACAACATTTGTCATTCGTGACAGATAATGTCAAACGCGTTTGATATTTGACTCATCTGTCACGAATGACAAATGTTGTTCAAAACTTCCGCGCACACTAGGAACTTTTGTCGATCGCACTTGTCACGAATAACAAGTACGCGCAGCAAGTTTACCAGTGTGCGGCGGGCTTTAGAAGCGTGCGTACGTGCATGAAAACGATTGTACTTTGGCATCGAACACCCGCGGTTGTGCTTTGATAACATTGCTGAACATGTATGACATGACGTCAACAATATGTCTGTCTTTTCTTAAATTTATCTTTCTTTTACTTGTGCGATTAATGTTGTAGTTGACGATTGTCAACAATACGTTTTTGTTTCATTTATTCTTAAACAATAAGCTTTCGTTCGACCACTCCGTAATATTTTATCAAAGAATGACGAGTGACAAGCGTAAACGATAATTTTATTGAGGGAGGAGGGGGTGGTTTCCTTTTTTTTGTCTACCCCTGTAGTTGTAATTGTCATAATTGAGAAGATATTTGCACAATAATATATCCAAATTACCTACTTCGTCGTCGATAGAATTACATCTATATTATGAACTGGGCTTTAATGTAGACGACAAGGCTAAACATATCAAAAAGGCAAAACCACATTGGGATTCAAAATTTTCAATTAATCTACGTTACTGTATACGAGACCTGATTTTACACAAAATCGTTCTATTTATAGCTAAATTGGCTACAGATATTGTCTTTTATCTGTACGTTTTTAGATGCACGTAAATAAAACGCGTCTTTATGGATGTCCACGTGCTTTTTCAGCAATTTTTTGTTCGCGTTTTAAATTGAAATTATTCATTTCTAAATACGTTCGGCATGTTTCTTTCGTTTTTGTTTGAACATTTCCTTCACAAACAACCTATTATGACGTATGAACCTTGTGACGTAATAAACCTTGTGACGTATACACCAGACAAACAAGTACGTCAAGCACGACTTGACTACCGCTAAGGAGGTAAGAAAAACGGATGCGATTCCACACAATTTCTTTAACAAGGAATAATGGCAAATTGTTGTCTAGGAGATGGACATTCCTGCCTTACCAGTTGAGTTTATACGGGTGGCCGGAAGTCATTGCTTTCTTTCATTGGCTGTCAGTTGCAGCAAGTTCACTCACTGGAAGGTGTTGGCAAACCTTCCCTGCTAGCTCATGGACTAATCCACTCCTTCTGACCGTTTTCATGGCTTTTGCCTTCATTGGTCGAGTAAAGCCAGAACAATAAAATGTCTGTAAGGGGATGTATAGTCTAAGAGCAGTTCTTATTCTTCTTTTTAATGGGTACTTTAAAACTGGCCTTAAATGATCAAGAGTGTTGATATATTGATTCACGATCAGAGCAGAATTTTCTACTCATTGGGGAATACTTTGAGAGCTTTTATATCAAAACTGAGTGAGACAGTTAATTAGGAAGTAGGGTTTTTAACGAAGTCATGCAATCTAACACTGCAAGACGTCCTGATGTTTACAACATTCCCTCGTTACCTTTCTGGTGGCGAATTTTTTTTTAAAACTTTTTCCCTTTTTGGTGGCGAATTTTTTTTTAAAACTTTTTCGTTCCGGTGATTGTTGTTGATCTGCCACACTGCCACTTGTAAACGGGTCAATTAAGCATACGATGCCGCACAACTTTCAAAATATACCTGCTTTCTTTTCGCATAGAATTGTTAACGATAACAGTTCACTGCGTGCTGTAAAAGAATGTTATAGAGCTGTAGAACGAACGTCTTAGTTGTGCCTTACACGCCATGAAAGCATGTTAGCCTTTAATGAATTAGTAACGGAATATAAGACTGTATAATCCGAAGAAATGTATCTTATAAACTCAAATTCATGCTATAAGCAAGATACTGAATTGAAAATGTAATATCCTGGGCTTTTTCTAAATAATTTTTATGATGCTGTTTTAATAAAACCGAAATCTTCCAGAGTTCCAGTTGTATCTTTCAAACAATTTGAATTTTAGATAATAAGATCTATTTTTCTTCGGATTATGTTGTATTGCATACTTTATGAAATTGTCGTCTATTCAAGTAACGGAATCTCTATCGTTCAACAAGGAATTACGATGAAATAATAAGTTTGCCCTTCTTTCAGACGAGAGTAATTGGCGAAATGATTATCCTGACGAAGAGGAATGGAGTGGAAGTTCAGAAGATGATAATGCCCGTTACAGAAACCATTATTACGATTACGGTAAATCAAACCTCGGGATTTGAAATATAATGTTATGCCTTTCTCGTTCCTCGTTTTTTACAACCTTTCTTTACTTTACAGGTTATAAAGATCGGACGTCTTCAAGGGACTCATCAAGCGATGATTATTTCGATTACTATGGGTAAATAAGTTGTTATCATATGGGATTAATGTTTGTAGATTCCACGCGTCGATATCGATTTTTTTGACCCATGCGAATTCTTTCGGAAAACATTTGATATTATAGTATGAATATTGAATAAATCTTTAAAAACAGTATTGTAAACATTAAATAATGTATAAGAATTAGCTGTGCAATTTATAAACAATAATAATATAGTTTGTAAATCGCGAATAGAAAAGGGTGCTCAGTACAAAAGTAGAGCGAATATTATTTATATAATCTACGTATATATTGAAAGATTTAACAACCACTTTTCATCCGAATGCTTTTTACCTTTTGAAAAACCAGAGGGCCACTGACGGTGATGGATGCTGGATGGGCCACTGACAGGGATGGATGCTGGATGATTTTGTATGTGGGGTGTTCAATTTTCTAATAAAATATCAATGAATACTTCGTGAATGAGGTCCCATGCCAGAAGTTTTTGTGAAAGTTTTTCGCTTTTATCACTTCGAATCAACGTTTAGTACGAAGTTTTTTGTTCAGTCTAAACTTTTTACTTTCTAAGAGATTTTTGAAAAAATAACAGAAGACTATTCGATGCATTGTGCTAGCCAGGATTCGTCCCAGTCTCTTGTGCTCATCTCTCTTGGTATATTAATATTTCGTTGGGAAAACCCCCCGTACCCTTTCTAGGTAAGATTAGAGGGGGTGTGCACCCCCTACAATCCTACCCTAAATCCACCCTGGTCCTAACCTGTCCGCCTATTTGGTCCTTCTGTGTGAATTTTCCTCATTTCACTCACGGTAGAGACACTAGATTTCGCCATTGGTTTTCATATTAATGTTCAGGTGTTCAGTAGATTTGGCCGTGAAGCCTGGTAACGAAGGGAAAATGAATTTTCTACTTCTAGAATGGAAAAGGATGAATACGATACAGAAATCTTTGATGAAGAACGTTGATCAGCTATATCGTGGATCGCTCGAGATTTACCATAGTTACAGTGGCTTCGACTTTGAACTACGGAAAGCTCACATAGAAAGAGATAAGTGTCTGTTGACGTAGTTTACGAATTGTTTTGTTTATAAACTTAATGAGAATGACGACAGTACGTCAGATTTACGTTAACTAGGGAGGGGGGGAGGTAAGTACTCATGAAATTCCTTTATGAATAACTCTAAAAAATTCCTAACAGACACTTCTAGACTTTCCGATTCTACACCACCAATGTAAATTATTCTCCCTCGCCATCTAAATATAGAATTCAACTGGTAGCATAATTTTCTTGGGTGTCACCCAACATAATATTGCCTATGACGGAAGACGCCATTTGATAATTGGTCATATTTACAGTCTTACACGCAAACGGATGTGTTGCTGTTGGGGCACTTCAGTAAAACTACTTATAGCTCCAAATCAAAAGTTCTTTGAGTGATGCACAAATGCTAGAATTGTAAAATTTTGCTTTGGTCAAATATAAATGACTGCGAGTGAATTTAACGATAACCATTATTACCATACTACCTTCCCCTGAATACTCGCCCGAAAAAAATGTGCTTCACTTTGAAAAAGTGGCGATCTGAATTACGTCTGTCATTCTCGGCTTAAAGAACATGCTTAGTGATCGGAGAATGCCTAAACTCGTCCTTTTAACCGTTGATTAGTTAGATTTTGTGCCATTGGAAATTTCATTAAGATGCACGAAATAAAATGTTTTTGCGTATCCTTGATGGGTCCGCTCATGTCTAAACTCGTCCAAGCCGATGACACTTTGATGGTTGTCTGATGAAGAAATTGTAGACAAATTTAGAACTTCTCGCAACCATAAGATTTTACATGAGATAAGAACTCATTCACTGCTCAACACTTGCATTAATTAAAGTGACCCGCAGTCCGACATCGGGAATTTAGACCCATCCACACTAATATGTTTTCGTTTGAAAACGGATACTTTTTGCTGCGTTTTTGCTTTCCGTCCACACTGAAACGCTCAAAAACGGATACACTGCCAAATGAAAACGGGTCGATTCGAAAACGCTCTCCAAAGTGGAGCAATTTGAAAACGGTGCGTTTTTTTTAGTGTGGACGGTCAAAAACGGAGCTTTTAAAAACGATGACGTCAATGACGTCCTGAAATAGCGGAAAATGTCACTGATGTCATAACAACCTTGGGCGTTTTATGTATAAACATGCGCAGTTAAATATATCACATATTCATCGTTTTCAAGTGTTGTAGTGTGGACAGCCGAAAACGCAATGAAAACGGTGGTGTGGATGAAATAAAAACAATGCATTTTCATTTCGATGAAAACGGAGCGTTTCGAAAACGCATTAGTGTGGGCAGGGTCTTAATTAACAAACTTTGAAACTTAAGTGTTGACATTCGAAAAGGAACAAATCGAAATAATAGTCTTTATCCAGTTACGATTTAAACGTCACAAAATATGCGTGACAACATAACGAAATTAAGGGTAGATGACAAGGGAATGGAAATCGTCCATATGTGGACATTTTCGTTTCTGTAAACATCCATACGAATCCCACTGTGATTAAAATTGATGTTTGTTTCTTGATGTAATCAAATAAACTTCCCCTTCAATAGGGAAGCCGCAAAGTTTTCAACGTAGCAAGCGTCTTTTTACACTTAGCTACAGCCCATCCGTTTTTACTTTACTGCTTTCTTCGAGTGTTCAAATTCAAAGACACTTTCTTCATTTCGACACGTTTGAATAATCTTGGTTTTCTTTGTCGGCAGAAACTGCACGATAGGCCTTGATGAATTATAAAATGATCGAAACGATTATTTCTTCCAGCGAATTTCGTGACATTTTATGCAACATCTGTCAAAGAGAAAGGCCGTTGAGTGATATTGCACACGACACTGACTGGCGTTCTATTCATGCGTTATATTGTTGTATTTTGCTCGCCAGAGAGGTAAGTTCCGGTCCGACGACCATTACGTGCATCATATTACATACAGCACAAGAGCGGTTTCGTCGGTATTTAGATGATACAAACTGCGAACGAGGGAGGAGTATTCTTTCAATGAAAGCACCAGCCGTTTTACATGTATTTGTTTACGTCGGATTAATAATATAAAGAGTACATAGCGAAGAGAAGGGCATCTGGATTATCATTGTATTATCGTTTTAAAAATGCCGAGAGCTTGGTTGCATGGACCAAGTCATTCCAGTGGCAAAATGCCGACAGAAATGACGATAATGCGTAGTAAAAACCCAGCTAATGAACACGAGAAGTTCGAGGGAGTCGATACTTGTCACGTTGCTTCACACAGAAAGCGACGACTCGTGTCACAAAATGGCCGAATTAAGGTTACAAATACAAATATTCCGGGAAAGCGAGAGAGATTTTACGGCGATTTATTCACTACAGTTTTGGACATGTCTACTCGATACATCTTGCTAATCTACTCGGTCGTGTACCTGGCCAGTTGGTCTGGCTTTGGTACTCTTTGGTGTCTGATCGACTATAGTAGACAAGTACGTGGTGACGGCCAATTTTACTGTATTGAGAAAGTCCAAGACTGGACAAGCGCTTTCCTATTTTCTATTGAAACGCAAACTACAATCGGTTATGGTGGTCGACAGGTAAATTTTTTCATGTCTGTGCGCTCAATTACACTAGAATACTAACCTTCTTTGTCTATGAAACGATCGAAGAGATAAAGTATTTGATAAATGCCCAGGAATTCGCTTGTTTATGGTTAAACCAATAGAATCTCATAGGGGTTGTTAATAGAATTAATTTGTTTTGACTATCCAATTGATAAAATTTGCTAAGTAATGGCCTTAACTCTCGGCAAGATTTGTTGTGAAGTGTCATGACGATCGAACAATGCTTGTAAGGGAAGTCGCTCGTGTTTTGTTATTGCGTTATTTTACGGGTTAGCCATGTCCTTGCAGTTTTGCTTTTTTATTAATGTGACGAGATGTTTAAACCCTGTATATTGCCACATCGCATGTGTTGAAATAATTTCAACATAATTGCTTGTAAGTCAGGAAATATTCGGCAGTTGTCGATGTACTCTGATGTATATTTCGATATTCCAACATCGCCGTAATATGGCATGCGTTATTCATGTCTATTATAGCGTCACCTTGACAATGGAACTGAATCGTCGTTTTCGTATGCCATAAAAAATTTATTAATTTGTAATTGTTCAATTAAAGAGAGCTTGCATGTAGCTAATTTCAAGTTTATTTATCAAATTGTTATCAATTATTCCCGTCTATCGAACTTACGGAGTAGATTTCGTTCGAGTTGGTGTTTGTTTTGTTGCGTTTTTTTGTGTTATGACGTGGATATTAGATGACATTAGTCATTCCTTGCCAACAGCCTCGAGACCTTATAACGCCTTATCTAACCGCCATAATGATATCAGAAATTTAGTCGTTAACAGTCATCAATATATATATTTAAACATCTTATCGTCTGGGTGTGTGTGTGTGTATTTTCATCGGCGAATATTTATTAGCACAAAATAGTTTGTTTACACGCAAAATTCAACGTATATTGTTTGTACACGGAAAACTTTTCCTAAAACTAATATTTGTGGTTTTTTTGTCGATGTACCCGATGTATACTTGTCACATCAGTTTTTAATCAATAGGAAGGTATGTACAGTGTAGTATGCTAGTAGCCTACTGCAGCTTCTTGTCTGAAAAGATTTGTTATTGACATTTTGTTGTTTACATTTGTTATTTGTATTTACGTTGCTTTGTTCACGTCTAGGTAACGCCCAATTGTCCAGAAGGAGTTATCCTTTTACTTATTCAAACTTTAGTCGGATCGTTTATTAATGCGACGTTGCTAGGGATAATATTTGCGAAAGTCTCGAGGCCCAAGAAACGATCTCGGACCGTTCTATTCTCGGAGAAGGCCGTCATCGGAAAACGGGATGATCGTCTTTGCTTGATGTTTCGCGTCGGCGATCTACGACAGTCGCAACTCGTGGAATGTCATTTGCAAGTGGAAATGTACTACACACGACAAACGAACGAAGGAGAGCTACCTTACTTTCACGAGAAGTTGAAAATCGGTAATGGCATTTCTGCCTCGGAGAACGTATACTACTCCTTTTTGCTCATACCAAGCACTATTGCGCATGTCATTGACCGTGGAAGTCCATTATATAGAATGAGCAGTCTGGACATGTTAAGAGCAAATGTTGAGCTTGTTGTGTTCCTCGAAGGAGTCATAGAATCTACTGGCCTCACCATGCAGGCTCGCATGTCATATACCGCTCACGAGATCGTATGGGGCTATAACTTCTTCCCGATGCCCTGTCATGATGATTTGCGTCTTAAAGGTCAACTCGTTGTGGATTATACGCGATTCAATAAACTTGTACCCATAAAGAACATGCCTTTGTGTTGTGCTAGCGAATACGAACAAATGATACGACGACGCAGTGGCCCTGGTGGTGCATCGGAGGATGATTACGACCATCACAATGATATTGAGGCTCAAAGGGGGCTTAAAAACATACAACAGAGCGATGATATGACGTCGAACTATAGATGTGAGGTCATTCTTAATGGTCTCGTGACCACAACATTACCGGTCGGCAATGGGGTTTGTGAGGACGAAATATCCGAGCATACTGTATAACGAGCACTGGTAACGAGTGACAAGGAAGGCCAGTGAACTGTTATATTGACTGGAACGCTAACGCCGATGCTTGTTCTATACGCCATTTTAAACCCAGTTCTGAAAATCTTGTGTGGTGAAACTTTTTATGGCAATTTTCGCTACTGTATTTGTGTGGTTCGTTTTTGAATTTCCAAAATAGTATCATAAAACTTCTAAAAAAACTCAGAAAAATGGGCTTCGTTTTTGGCTTCAAAGATAGCGGCGTTGTTAGCGTTCCAGTTGATGTACACAGTTCACTGCTTAAGAGTGAGGACCTCAGCTAATTGACGACGGGAAACAAAAAGAAAAATTTGTATAAGAGATCTAAAATTATTTTCATTCGTTATTTTTGATAACTGCCTTGTAAATGTATTTAATATACTTATGTTGTAAATTATATCATTGTTAGCACACACAGACTTCTCTCGCATGGCGCTTTTTTTAACTTGTTCTACAAGGCTATTAGCAGAGATGGTAGATAAGAACAATATCAATCGTGGACTCTTAATGTTCTTATGTCATACATACTCACAAGCAGCTGCTGCGCTAATTTCATGTGGCAATAACTATAAATGTAGAAATTTTTGAAATTTTATATTCTACGTATGCATATTGAAGCTATTTCTAAGAAACGATTTTCATCCGTAATCATATTTATATAAATGGTGGTCATTTACTTTTGACTTTTGTACAATTGAATTTTTCTGCGTGTTGAAATAACCACTATGTGGGCTTTCTTTAGTCAAGTCATTTGTGAAGACGCCGGTTTTACCAGTTGGCTTGTCATTGTGATACTGTCCACCAATGATTTAGAACCCAGTTCCCTAGTTGTCCTAACTAATTAAAATGTGAGGCGAGGATGCCATTTTGAAAGATGCCAAAAATAAAACTTAAAGTCCGAAATAAGTAAAACGAATGTTTCAAAAACAGTCCAATCTAAAATTGTAAAAATCAAACCTAGACTTTCAACTTTGCAAACATATATCAACTAAGGAAAAGCAGATATTAATCGTAAATATCGTCAGTTTTGCCACCTTTCAAGATGGCGGCTTGCCTCACTCGTAACTATAGAATTTTGGCAGAGTCAGATATCTAGTAGACTGGGTTCTAGGTCATTGCTGTCTACTCATAACCACCTACCTTATGTTTAAAGTCACTATTTCGCGAGAAACACTATTCTTTGGAGAAATAATTCTATATAACGCTACACATTCCTTCTTCACTGGCATTCATTCGAGTTTTCAAAACGTATTTGTTTAATACTATAAACTCTCACGAGATGCTCTTGCGTTTCTATAATAATCTCTATTAATGATTTTAATTATGAAATAAAAACGATAAAACGCGTGCGGTGATTGGTCTATAGCAGTGTTTGCATTAGTCTGTGCAAACAGATTTGGGCTCAACCAATTAAATCAATCGAAGAGAATTTGAAATCAATCATGAATACATGTTAGAGGAAATATTGAAACGTTTGTTTTAAATTGTCTTTTTGGCATTGTTGTTATTTTATAAAAGAAAAAAAGTTTTTCATGTTTCAGTGGTATGCACTGGCTTATGCACATCTCGGAGACGGTTGTGAGAACTCTCAAGCTCGACCTTCGGTCTCGGGCTAGCACTGATCTCTCGAGTTCTCACGAAGGTCTCCTCTATTTTCATAAGCAAGTGCAAACACAATAAACATTAAGTAATATTCTTGTAACAATAGTTATAATTATAAATGTAATAGAGTAATTATAATAATCCTATCAACTCTCATGAGATACCATTGCGTTCCTCTGTCCGAATGAGAACGTGGCAATTGCTCCATTACATGGTAATCTTTATTACTCTTTAGGAAGGGGATGGCGTGTCGCCATCAAAAGGACCTGGAACGAGGTTGTCTCACTCCACTCATATTTGAGAAAGGCATTCATTCACCTGTTATTGTTGTCGTTTCGGAAAATCTCAAATATGAATGGCGACAACACACATCTTGGAAGAATGGTAAAATATTTTCACTCTTTTGGTATACAATTTGGAAGAATTGTAAAATATTCTCAATTATTGACTACACATCTCGAAAGAATGGTAAAATAATTTTAACCATTTCATAAAGAAATTCTCGAACTGGAAAAAAGTTCAAAATGAAAAAATTTCAAAAACCAGGTACGTTTCTCATAAAGATATTTTATTTTCTCCATACAGTATTCCCTCTCTTTCTCCTGTTTTATCCTACCACTAGCCTATTTTCTCGTGTTTCTGTTCGAATTTGCTCATATTTTGATTTCAACTTTCCGAAATTTTGCTTCAACGACGGGGGGGGGATTATCAAGTAGGCTGAGTAGGCTTGAGCCTACAGGCCCGGGCTTTTGACAGGCCAGTTGTATCTGGACACATTTAGGATTGAACGTTTTTGCTTTCCGTGGTGGCGGCTAGCTAAGTGTGCTTAACTTAGATGATTTACGCTGTTGAAACCTTAAAGCAATTGAATGCAAAGGGAAAATGGCTTTCGTACTATCTACTTTTCAAATGTTAAATGCTCAGAACTCAAGGAATATTAAAATTTCCCAGACCATGTCAATGATTTTTGAAATTTCGTTTTAACTTTAAAATGAACTTTTCCCATTTTTTTACCCGTTGGGGTTACTAACAGGAAATGCAAAACAAAGGAAAACTAAACTTAGTAGGAGGAATAGGTATCGCTTAAAGGCCTTTAACTTTATCTTAGCCTACAGGCCTCGTAATTAGTAATACACCACAGACAACGACACACTAATAGGCTCGCGCGCGAATTTCGCAAATGAAATGGTATGGAAAAAACACGTTTCTGAACATTGTGTGAAATGCAAGTCCTGCTTTGTATTTCAGCATTTCAAATCTTGGTATTAATTTTGACAAATATCTTTCACAACTATTGAACAATCGCAGTCGTTGCATGCTTTCTTTCAACTTACAACGTCTCGATATAAGTAGGTTTTCTCGTGTGAATAAATTAAATTCAACCCAAAACCTGTCATGGTTTATACTCTGATGAGTGATGGCTTATCACTTTCGTATTCTACGATTTTCAGTAATCTTATGAACTGTTATGCTATGTCCTTGCATCCCTCCGTGTCACGTTTTTTCACTAAACGTCCTCCATTCTTCTTCATTATAAAGATCATCTTGTTCTTCGACCCTAGTCAACGTGATTGGACAACCTTCGGTCACGTGATCCATAACCCTTTGCTTAAGTTCGCATATTTGTTGCTTAAGAGCATTCGCGAGCGTTGTGAGCTCAACGTTTCTAGCTCGCAGCTCTTTCACGGTCGATTCCAAAACGGCCTCCTTTTCCAGCTTCTTTTTCCGACATTTCGACGAGGCAACTCTGTTTCGTTGTTTCTTTCTCTCGCGCTTGACCATTTCCTGCATGTCAAGATTTATCGGTTGTATCGACGTGTTGCTTTCTTCAAATGCTGCACTGCCGTCAAGTTTGTACATCTGTGTTGGAAATGGCGTGCTCGCAGCAAGAACGTTGTTGTACGCCGTAAGAGCGTGTAATTGATTTACCGCTTCGTAATCTTCCACGTTATTATGTAATGGAGTCGTGTAAAATTGGGTGTTAGGTAATAGCGTTGCACAATTGGGAAGCACATAAGTCCTATTTGGAGCGTGTTTTAGTTGATTATCATTAGTAGAAAAAGTGGTGCTAAAAGTTTGTGCAGTTTTAAATTTCTCCCTGTTGTCAGCGACCGCCATGAGCCCGTTAACATCGGTCGCCAGATAGAGTTGATCAGAAGAATTTATCGTTTCCTCCGTAACTATTGTCTCTCCTGTGTTTATCTGCTGTAACATTCCCTTGTATTCATTGTTATCTTGACGATCGTGTAACTCTTGCAACACCTCCGGCAACCCTTTGGTCGCTGTGGAAGCACTAGTTTGTTCGTTTGTCATATTACTCGGGCAGCATTTTGTGCTTTCGTTATTTCCCGTCTGGAAAGCGATCAGCATCTTCTCGAGATCTGGAGATGCCATTTTTAAGATTCCAAAATCGGGGGAACACATCCCGGTTTGTATGCTATTTTTGCGCGCGTGGCCGGGACGTCCGTTTTGCAAAATATCTGCGTTTAGTTGTAGCTGGAGATTACCCTTGTCGTATCCAAGTGAACAGTTGACTTCATTTTGCTCCTCGTCGTAGAAATGTCTCTCGTGTATTTCTTCCATTTTTCTTGCTCGTCGAAAAATACCGTAGATTTGTTAGTAAGCAGAGAAAATTTTCGAAGTCCCGCCTCATCACATAACGAACATTGTGTTTTTCATGGATCATTTTCAAATTTCTGCTTTCATGTTTTGATTTTTCGGATCGCACCAGTGAGCTCCGAAACGTTCTCAGCTCGCCTCAATGAGCAAAATCCTTGTTGAGTGAGGTCATTTCGGCTTGTAGCCAATGCTTATTTTTGCTACAACTGTCGATCGTTTTCATTGGCTGCAACTCTGGTCACCTGGTACATGTCTGACGACAATAACACGATCTGTTCCTTCAACTGTGACCAGCGACAGGTGTGGGGGAAAGCCGTCTTTTCCTTCTTACAGCTTGCTTTTCTCAATTTCTTTCGCAGGAAGTAGGACTCTTTGATGGTGAGGAAGACAAGCCAAGGTTTGAACGTTTCCTAATACGTGCGTAAATGCAATAATGTGAGCAGTTAAAAGATACCCGGCACGTTTAAAATCAATCAATAAATCAAATTTATTTCAACAATTTGAATGAATCTATCAATCGACAGTGTTTCAACACGGCGAATTCTTTACTTTGAATTCCAATGATCAAGGCATTTACATAAAACTAACTACATATAGTAAGAAAAAAATTTCTTTATTAAATTCGTTGATCTGGAGTTAGTTGTTCTGGAACTCTAAGGAGTGTAATTTATGGAACTCTAAGGAGTGTAGATTTGGAACTCTAAGGAGTGTAATTTCTGGAACTCCAAGGAGTGTAATTTATGGAACTCTAAGGAGTCTAGTTTTGGAACTCTAAGGAGTGTAATTTATGGAACTCTAAGGAGTGTAATTTCTGGAACTCTAAGGAGTGTAGTTTTGGAACTCTAAGGAGTGTAATTTCTGGAACTCCAAGGAGTGTAATTTCTGGAACTCTATGGAGTGTAATTTCTGGAACTCTAAGGAGTGTAATTTCTGGAACTCTATGGAGTGTAATTTCTGGAACTCTAAGGAGTGTAATTTCTGGAACTCTAAGGAGTGTAATTTATAGATTTCATTCCGACACAGTACAGAAACAAACGGTAGTTCCACTTTCCACTCTACAGAAATTTTGTGCAGCGCATCTCTTATTACGCATGTGATTTGCATAGTCGCAGCCAGTCTATTACTTTTTTTGACCAATAGGAGCGCCAAGATGGCTTACCGCAGCCAGTAATCTAATTAAATACAAAGCACCGAGTTGCACAATGGAGTGAGACTACTGTTTGTTTCTATTCTGTGACTCCGAGTCCGTGAAACAAGTCATCTGTAATTTTTATTAATACATATTTCCACAAGTACAAAAACAATATATTTATTCCGCGGATTAAGTTCATTTTGAGGTGAGATTATTGTTTCAACTGAAGTGTGAATTTCTTGAAGCACATGTCTTCTCGAGTAGGAAATTAACCTGTCTGGATTTTGTAGAAAAATTTTCTCATTAAGCCGAACTTAAAGTGGTACTATGACGAAAATTTTGCCTCTCGTTTTTTTTTCATAGATTAATAGTGTATGTAAAAAAATCTCTTCTGGCGAAATTTTAGCGCAATGTATTTCATGCTGCTCGAGTTACGTAGCGATAAAACTTGAACTTTAAGAGCCGCCATTAAAATGCGCCATATTTGAATTTTCAAGAAGGAAGGTGCTTGTGACGTCATAGCAAATGGCAAAATTTCCGAATTAGATTCGTCCGAATTTGCCGTCATGAATTCCGATGAAGAAATCGATGCGTTTGTCTCGATCGAAGACTCAGAAAGCGAGCTAGATCTCGATGAATTTGACATTTTTTTGCTCTATTTATGTATTACTTTGTATACTAATGGCGGACATGAAAATTAGACATTTCAAATGTTCATAACTCCCTCGTTATACTATTATTTTTGCTTAAATTTTACGAAAGCAATAATTGATATGTGTTTAAACTATTGAATGCTAAAATCGATGATTTTTTAACGTTCAGTTTTCGTCATAGTACCACTTTAAAGATCTAGATCAGGCACGGTCATTTTGATTGATTTCACGAAAGAGTCGACGAGAAAAGACTTTGGTGGTATTCAAGAATTTAGATGTAGAAAAGAATAGTTTCTGATGACTAAATAGTTTGGTTGCTTATATACTCCAGGCTAAGCGAGATTCAATGAGATGACTTGTAGAAGATGAAAGGACTTGCAATTTAATGCGTCAAAATTACAACAAAGTATTAATTATTAAAGCTCCTTATTTATTCACTTATGTGTGACGTAGGGATTTGAGCAAATTGTTTTCATTTTCTATATTATATACAGAGATATTGTAAAAATACTTTAGTAGTTCTTGTATGATAAATATTGGATCGTTTCAATGCGCCAAAATCCTTTTATGGTTGAATTTATTGGAAATATCACACCTTAACTTTTAGGTGTTCCCATCTTTTCCCACGCTAAGGGGGCGTAAATTAGCATCACCTATTCACTCAACTGAAAAATAGCATTTGAATTGTACGTATTTCTCAAGGTATTATTTGAATTGTACGTACTTATCCGAGTTATTCGCGTGGCAAAAATACATAAAAGTTTTCCATCAGTGAAATTTTTGTCGTATGATCGTATAACTGAGCGTTTTTATTTGAAATCATTTTTGAACGTGATCCACAATTGTCCAATTAATGTTTCATTCATGTCGAAAATTGTCACGTGGTAGTGGTCTGTAAAACCTGTGGGAGATGTGAATTAGACACATTTCGTGTCATTCGTAAACAAACAAAACTCCGTGATGGATGGCAGATATAGCTTTCGTCGGTTTATTATTTTATTTTGCTGTCCTTCTTATGTGATACTTACCCATTATCCTACAGTTTTCTGGACAACAAACAACTGCAGGTGAGCTGTTGGTTATTTTGAGTTTAAATTAAAGTTTTTGAGGGGATATATATCGAACGGAAGGCGGTGGGCAATTTAATATATTATATATACTAGTTTCTAATTCTAGTTTCTGTTTACTCATTTTAGTTTTGTGTATTTCAATGTTTCGATTTCTCTCAGTTTAAAGTCTGTTCAAAAGAATCTTGTTAAAAAAAATCGTGAAATGAAACTAATACAAAGTGTCCTTATTCCTTGAATACATTCACTATTTTATTAAAAATATTAAGAATAATAATGTCTTTCTCTTCCGTTGATTGTTTTTATGAAGTGCCTTCCGCCTTAACGTCCTTTCAATTTCATTGAACACTTTAAATTTGAAAACCTTTACCATGAAGATGGGAAGATTTTTGCCCACTTTAATGTAAGTGTATTACTTATTTATAGTAATGATTTTTACATCTTCCACCTGCCATGGCCACATGTTTCGTATAAACCGATTTAGTAATATTCTCTTCCTTGGCATGCATGCTTAGACATTTTATTTACTTTTTAGCGCTTCCAGCGTGAAAATGTCTACGGTGTAAATGATAGAATGAGTGCTAAACCTGAATAAGACATCGTTTCTGTAAATTTTTTGTTATTTGAATCATCATTTGAAGATGAGAAATGTATGTTGTCGACAGCTTTGAATGCTAATCTACCGTTTACGATTTAATGACGCTAGCGGCCATTTTTATAGGCATAACACAGAACTTTGCCGATTGTCTTTATGCATAGAATTTCTCCTAGACGGCATGGCGAATGTTTTTGCGTATCTTCGGCATAGCATTGAGACAGAATGTACCCTGGCTTATAAGGTCCTTGGTGGGATGGGAAATTTCCTTCTGTCCAAACAGAAGCCCAAACTTGTACAGACAAAACTATTGTATGGGATGACGCAAGACAATAGGACAGACCATTTTTATACATCAGTATTTTGCTGGGGCTTGTGCATGCCATAGCGACATTTTTATCATAGTATATTAATGTAGAACTACATCCTTCGATGGTGATGTGGCTTGTACGTGACAAATTTCTTATCATAAGAACAAAAACAGAGATCGTGTGAAAACATCAAGAGAGATTGAGAAATAAAACTCTAACCAGCTTCCCCCTATTCTCTGATGAAGGCCTTAGGAATAAAGTCAAAACATTGCGCAATCAAGACATTTGTTGTGCAAAAACATTTTGCCCACTTGCAGTTTATTAAAGATTTGACTCCAATTGACTGGTAACTTAACAGGTAGAATGCAGGGACATAAATGTGGTGTTGTCACACATCCCCAGTGATATAACACAGTCTGTCTCAACATTGGTACAGTCGAAAAACCTATATAATACCAAAGATTTACACAGACCCAAAAGTGAAAGAACATAGTTATACATAGTGTCAGTGTCAGAGTATGTTGCCAAATTGGCTTATTAAATGTTATCTTCAAAAAAACTATTGTAAAAAAGTGGATAATCCCGTTTTTCCATGAAGCCCATGGATGCTTTCGTTCACGAAGAGAGAGCTATATTGTATAAGGAGGCTGTTGTCGTTCATCACGAGAGAGTTATGAGAAACTTGCATTGTAAAAGGTTGTTTTAAGTTCTAATTCAAAAAGCCCTAAATTGTTAGAACGTTTGCAGTATCCTTGGATGCTCTATTTTCTTTTATGTAAACAAAAAGATAAAATTCAAAAGAAAAAACCCCGTTTTCGGTCCATGCTTCCCGATACCTTCTTAAGCGTAAGGCACTAGAACGTCGCATGTTAACGTTTCGGTAGGAGATTTCGGCCCCTCCACCCTATCCTACTTGGGAGATGCAATAGCAAGCTTCCGCCCATCAGACCCCGAGATCACCTGCGATAGGCTTTGCTCGGGGTACGCAGGGAGAGTGCGGTCGCCACCGAAGTGTGGGCCCCTAAGCCACTGCATACTATATCGCACCTAGCTTCCACTGCTAGTTGACATCTACTATACCTAGTATTAGCTTTATATATATATAAATAAATTCAAAGGTTTACGAAAGTTGTGGTATTATTAAAGTCACTACTGCGCATGCACAGATGATTTCTTTAATAATTTGCGACTAAGTGATCTAATTACCACAAATGTAGTGCAAGTACATGAAGTTGGTCGTTGCCATGACTATTAACAATTAGTTGAGTGGACTGCGCAAGCTCGAGCGCATGCGCAGATGATTCTTCAATTAAATTGTTGCTAAGCATGCTATTTACTTCAAAACCGGTGCTAGTAGATGCAGTTGGTCGTTGCCATGACCATGAACTTGGAGAGCTGGTCAAGCCGACTGCGCATGCTCAAGCAGACTGCACATGCGCAGATGATTTATCCGAAAATTTGTAACTGAGGGAGCTTATTACTCCATGATCGGTATTAGTTCATACAGTTGACCATGAACTTGGAGAGTTGGTGGAGTTACCGAGCTCTACTACTAATGCTCAGATTAATTCTGAATTTGAAATTGGTGCTTGTAGATGCGCTAAGCAAATTTTAAATCATATATTTTTGGCATGCTCTTTGTCTTCTTAAGCTTGATTTGACAAATGCATATTAAAGTCATCAACACTTCGTTACGGCACCCGTAATAGCTGTGACAATGTTAGATATGTTTTTATTTCTCTCTATAACTTTGTATCTGCATCTTGCATGTCACATCCAAGCTTTACTTTGATTTGATGAAAAATAGTTTTTATTTACTCTTACACCCTCTGTCTTTATAATTAGTATTTCTAAAATAAGATATGCAAATGCCCCAAGAGCATCTCCTAACCATTTTATTGCCACCATTCTACACATACAGTACTATGTCCGACGATTTGATTTTCAGAATTTTGTAATTTGATCTCGTATTTTTGACACGTGTGTTAACAATCGGAAAGGTGGATTCACTCAGTAAATAGCTTTCAAAAGAAATCAGTCGGCAGCAAGTCAATATATGAATAAAACACTCGCACCCCCCCTAATTATTGTTCTGAGGACGGCCCTGATGACGTCTTATGTACCAGTAATTCGCGGTATTCTGTAAGTATCACGTTTATACTTACAAAATATGGTTTATGCAATTATAACTGCCTAACCAGGATACATTAGCTGAAGTTTTGAAAGTGTTTCATCTTGAAATGTTTTATTTCTGTTAGAGTTAGTTACGGTGGAGAATAAAATAGTTGTTAGATCGAGTTTTTGCGTGAGGCCTCGGTTGTCGTTATCTGCCTCGGTCTACAGCTTCCGGTTATGACGCAAACCTCTGCTGACGTCATTCTGGATGTCACGCTCAACCTCATTTAACAATTATTTATTTATCGAAAAAATTCCATCTGCCTTTGTAACATGACTTTCATTAATACTTCATGTTATAAAGTTCATCAAAAGCAAAACATCGTTCTTTGTTCAGATTCAACTTGAACAAAAATGGACAGGAAGGATACAAAATTAACGTGAAAGCAATGAGCAATATGATCTTCATGTGTCCCCACATTTCATTGTGGGCGGGTAAAACTGATGATAACCCCACGCGTAGCATGATGTACTCCAATGTCCTTTTGGTTGACAGAGAGAGTTACATGAGTTGCGACATTAAAAACGAATCAAACGTAAAAGAACTATTAACTTGTAAAAAAGACCCAATGGGGAAAGAAGTTGACTTTGTTAAGCAGACGTTCGCCAGTCGACATGCCGACAGTACTAAACACCCGTATCATGGTGGAAATCATTACTATTTCATCTGTGAGTATATAACTGTCATTATCAGTCATTATTTGTGACATGTAAAGCTTATTCATTGCATGTACAGTACTCAGTATTCAACCTGAGCCTGGTTTACGTATTAACACCGTTCAGCTCCAACGAAGTGAAGTTCATCTGTCATCTAGAGCAACCATGTTTCTGCTCTTTTTGATCGTTTGGGACAAACTTTAGCTATGTGTGACACAAGAGCGGCATTGTCGCTGATGGTCCTGTAAAACTCGTGAAAATCAGGAATTTTCGACTTTCCTTGCATCTGCAGTGCTCCCCCCTCCCCTTCGTTATGAGATAGATTATGTTTATGGAAACATTTTCTACACGTCTTTCTTCTTTGAGAATATGTTTTGGACAGGGGTGGTTGTACATGGAAAATGAAATCCTGCATGCGAATTTTTTACTTTATCCTCTCCGCGGAAATAGTAGATTCTCAAAGGTATGAACGACGTAAATGTCTTGAAATTTATATCGCAGGACTAAGCCAAGAGGGCCAACAAAGCTGCTGATCGGTTTACGTTATGTGCACATCGTACTTAACTATCATGTTGCGATGTTGAGTTCAAATATATAACAGTTCGTCTCTGGATGTGCATATCTCTATGACAAATCCAATTAGTAAATTTTTTTCTCCAACTGCATTGTACGAAGGAAAATCAATATAAGATTCAACTGTCCTTATTTGTTAACACTAAACGCTGGATCGTCCTTAAAGGGATGGGCCATCATCATGTTTTAGGATGCTTATTTGCCAATTTCTTTCTTTCTTCGATTAAGACTCAATGAAAAAAAAAACACTTTGAAAGACCGATAAAAGCTTGAAGTAAACGAGGCAAATATTTTTCTCCGTCTCTCATGACACGCATCCCCATTATTTTTAAGAGTCCGATTGAGCCCTGAATATTTTTAAGGCGGCAGCTTGTACCAACGATCATTATTACAGTGATTTGGTGAACTTTGGCCAAATAAGTCATTGTTTGTGAACTATACGTATGAAATAGTTGCTTGTTTTCAAATGTTTTTGGCAGGTGATATAATTGACTTTAAAGCTAAGCATGCACACAGCCGTAGTGTAGGTTGCCCGAACGTTTTCTCGTGCCATTCACTTATTTCGGTGTTCGGAAAAAAAAGAAAAGAATAGATGCTAGTAATAAGTGAAAAACATATAACTAGCTACGCAACTGTCACATGACGTGATTTCACTTTGTAATTGCTCACTCACTGGTCAGGTTTACAAATAACAGTTATATGTAAACTTATATGTATCACTTGCGTGATATAGCTACGCAACTGTCACATGACGTGATTTCACTTTGTAATTGGTCACTCACTGGTCAGGTTTACAAATAACAGTTATATGTAAACTTATATGTATCACTTGCGTGATATAGCTACGCAACTGTTACATGACGGGATTTCACTTTGTAATTGGTCACTCACTGGTCAGGTTTACAAATAACAGTTATATGTAAACTTATATGTATCACTTGCGTGATATAGCTACGCAACTGTCACATGACGTGATTTCACTTTGTAATTGGTCACTCACTGGTCAGGTTCACAAATAACAGTTATATGTAAACTTATATGTATCACTTGCGTGATAAAATTTTAATGGAACGATTCTGCAATATGAAATCTCTTTCTGTCTTCAGCGACATCAAATGGTTCTCTTGACAGCATCCACAATAGAAATGGCGGTTATTGTCGAACGCATCACATGAAGCTCGTTATTTACGTTTGTAAGGATGATGGTATGTCGATTTTAGCATGTTGAATTGACTAATCTAACACGGCAGTCTTAAACATCAAGTCTTTTTTTAAAAAAATTTCTTCCGCAGAACCTTGTGAGTTTGAAATGCCTAGCTGTTCAAGTGAAGGTCATCCACCAAATATTAAACCACAACTAAAAGGCTGCAACTCGTCGAATGTTCCAACTGATGGTGTTCTCTCTGTACAAGCGAGCAAACAGAAAGGATTGCTTAACGAAGAGCAACATGTGATTGTTTACGCCATCTTGGGCTTTATAATATTAATTCTGCTCCTTGTAATATGCTGGCTTGTGAGGTACGGTCCGTTTTTTTTTATTGATAACTAGGTATTTTAAAAGATCAACACACTATTTTTTTTATTGATAACTAGGTATTTTAAAAGATCAACACACTATTTTTTTTATTGATAACTAGGTATTTTAAAAGATTAACACATTTTTTTATTGATAACTAGGTATTTTAAAAGATTAACACACTATTTTTTTATTGATAACTAGGTATTTTAAAAGATCAACACACTATTTTTTTATTGATATCTAGGTATTTTAAAAGATTAACACACTATTTTTTTATTGATAACTAGGTATTTTAAAAGATCAACACACTATTTTTTTTATTGATAACTAGGTATTTTAAAAGATTAACACACTATTTTTTTATTGATAACTATGTATTTTAAAAGATTAACACACTATTTATTTATTGATAAGTAAGTAAATGGACTCCGTCGTTTCGACGTATGAGGGTTCCACACACAAAGTGGAACATCCTGGTCACTGAAATTATAGTGAAGGCAGCTGATCAGACTACAATCACTCCGTACCCTTCACGCAACTACAACGCTGATATCAGCGTGACACAGGGTGACAAGGCTGCAACATTGCAGATGCAGATACAGTCCATCGAGGACATAGTTTCCTCTACCAAATTTCCCTCACATGGCTTTGGTCAACCCGGGCTAGGTTTTCAGACACATTGCCAGATGTGCCACGAGCCGGGATTGAACCCGCGCCGTCTGGCTTAAAGCTCACGCAATTAACCATTCAGCCACCCGCCCCGTCCTGGGTATGTTCTGCCGGTAGTGAGTTCGGATCTCGTCGTTTTATGGCTAAAGAAAAAGGACAAAAAAACTACAAACAACACCAAAACTAAAACACTACACTCTAATATTATTAACACCAATCATATTAACAACACACCAAAACCCATGGAAACGCATTTCACCCCATCCAATCACATTAATCCACCCACTCATCCAATTAGACGCTCTAAACGTCTCCAAGCTAAAAAGCACGTGTAAATAAATATCCTCATTCTGATGAAGGCTCGAAGCAACGAGTCGAAAGCTCAATAAAAATCATTTAAAATCCGGAGAAACTTTTATCTTTTATGTATATATATATATATATACAAAGTGTATAACAATGTGCCCTCCCGGCTATCACCATAGTAAAATGGTGACTCCTGCACTTGGGACACAGGACGTATACATCATATATATATATATATATATGATGGAGATTGTAACAAGTTTATTGTGTGTGTTTTACAGAAGTAAACTTTCGCCCACAGACGAAGGCGCAAATAAGACCAAAAAACCTTTGACGAAGAATTCAGATGGTGGAGTCCGTGTATGAAAAAAAAATCCGAGAAGATTATCTTATTTTCTAATTGTTGAGTTTTGAACGTTAAAATAAATGTTGTTTAATTTCTTTAACTAAAATTTAGATATGCGAAGCATATATACTTTGACAATAAGGTAGTGTATTGTAAAATAATGTGTACTATAATGACTCGTAAAATGACTGGATTGATGGAGTGTCCGTTACATGTTTGGAGATGTTCATCGTACGAACTACATGTACAAACAAACAATGACTTTCCAACGTAGATGTAAATAAATTAAAGTTCGCATTGTAAATTTGAAAATAAATTTCCTTAGTAGTAAGTAGTCGTTCCTTTTTTTTGCCATGTTATTTCCACTTGAATCTGGGTATCAACATCTACTTCACATGTTTGTAACATGTTTGTAAATGTAGATCGTCCAGGTTAATAAAGTCCTGAGAAGGACTGTTTTTGTTGATGTTGACTGACGTTTCAACAACCTTAGCGGTAGTCATCTTCAGAGTCAAATGAGGAGTAAACGTCAGGTTAGCCGTATTTGTTGTATAACAACATCTACTTCATTTTCTTTCTGCACAATTTAAGTCTTTTATGAGAATACGCAATGAAGGTAAATGATGCAGTTTATTAAGCCCACCATCGCATGAACATAAAGTGGTATGCTTGGACAAAGCAATACAGTGGCTTTCCACACAGCTCAAGTCGGCATATCATGCATTTAATGGTAGCCATCCGGGATCTTTTTACCTTAGTGTGATTTTCGTTCAATATTTTCAACGATTTGCACGATTTTTGTACAAGAAATACGATGTCAAAATTGTCGGGAAAATTTGTAGTTTAAACTGTGGAAGCGGTCACTGGTTTTGGAACCAGCCATAGTGCCAGACCTTCGAAAGCTGACCACAGACACTTGGTGTTTCTTTCAACAGAATCGCACCTTCAACGAAACTTGTCAACAGGAATAGGTTTACTGCATTGTCGAATACTCAAATTGACAATTTTCGTTTAGTGTCGATTGCCCGTCATCAACCTCTGTCTTCTGTGTCATTTTATTCTTGATTTTATTTTTGATTCAGGGCCTTTTTCTCGACTTCATTTTTTGATCTAATGATTGGTAAAAATGAAAAGCAATATTGAATTTTAATTACAAAAAAAACTTTCGCACACTTCCTGATGTGGTCCATTTTGACTTCCTGTAAAAAAGATCTAATCCAGGAATAGTGACATTTTTAACCAAGTTTTAGATTAGGGATTAGTAAGAAGTTGGCATGTAATCCGCTCCGCTTGATTAGTTGAATGAATTTTAAAATGGACGTCAGTAAGTTCTTTGCGAAGGAGGCGATCGCCCCCTGATTATTGAAATTTCTTTCCGGCAGGCAAATTTTAACACTCAAATCTGCGAACTGCATTTTAAGAAAAAAGACAACAGAAAAAGTTGATCGCTCACTGCACGAGAATGAAACATGAAATGTATGGGTTAATTACTTATTTTATGCTACCACCAATTTTCCAGGGTGTTTGAAATGAAAAAATTTTATCTTGTTTTGTCACTCCCCCTTCTTTTATCCATATATGGTAGGAGCATCCTGCTGTTTATTCAAGTACAAAATACTCAGTTCGCAGCAGTCGTTCGTGCATTCGAGTTTATTTTAAAACTTTGTGTATAGATTCAGTCACAGAATATATAATATATAATAATCTACATGGTTTCCCCCGATTTGGCAGAAAGATATCTTTACGGCGTTCGTAGCAGTATTGTTGTTGTAAGGTTTGATAGAAGTGTGTGTTGTTTCGAGAGGGAAATATCGCTCATCGACGGTCGTCGACTGTAACAAGATCTATTCATGCAGACGATTCTTTTCGATTGCTCAAAGTGAACATAGTTTTGCTTACAGTTTATCATCGCAAGCCTACAACTTCAAGTGTAAAATGTTCATTCGTCTCTTCGCCGTTGTCTAACTCAACTCGAAGAATCGTTGTGCTCGCGAAGTCAAAGATTCTTTCTCTGAAATTTAAGCACGTACGAATTGCAAGCAGTCGCAAATTTTTTCATAAAGCTATCGGAATGAGCGCGGAAGATCTATGAGGAACTCCAAAAGCATGGGTTAGTATATAGTTAGATTTGCGAAGATATTTTGCCGTATACTTTGTACGTTTCAATTACGGTCTACCTCATTGCGAAGTATGTAAGTCCTTTCAGTTAAAAAGAAATACCTTCTCAGAACAATAGATTTGATGGGTGATCGTGTATTATTTGTTATAGCGACGTACACATCTCATATTTTGTGCTTTTATCATTACGTGCATGTAAGAGGAAGAAGGGCTTACTGTTAAAAAGTAATATCGAAAAAGCATGCTTCTATATGGCAAATTTTGACATTCAGATATTCTCGAAAGTATACGCAATATTGCATCTACGGGATTTAAAGTCCTTGTACATTACATTCCGCTAACTTTTCCTCGTTCGTGATCCTTAATAGATGTTGAAAAAAAAACCACTTTAGTGAGCAAACCTTTATTATTACCCAGGGCTGTCACTTTTAATTTGACTTGCGTTCGCTTATGTAGCAATTTACATGGTAATTCTGTTATAGTTGTGACATGTTATTCATGGCCATGTTCAAATGGATCAAAAAAGTTTTACAAGTCGCTCAGGCTTATTAAACCTTCAAAAATTCAATTGCTCTTGGCTTGCCGTGTTTATTTATGCTGTTGTTTTGCGTAATTACATGGTATGAACGACAAGAATGCATAATAGTCACTGTTGACTGTTCATGTGTGTGAAATTTTTTAACCATGGGAAACTGTTACAAACATCGACAAACATGTTTTTAGCGACGAAACTGTCGAATCGATTTGTATTATACAGACGGTCGATTGTATTTCTATTTTGAGCATATGACATCAAAATGCGTACAAAATCGCAGACAAGAACAAATTTGCAATTCGAGACTTTGCATATTTATAGCGTTCTTACATCATGTAATGTTTTTTGATTTTACTGGTGAAGTGTTAGAGGGCTGAATGAGCTTTTAAGTATCTAAATTATACTTATGCCAATGGGGTCACTTTAGAAATTTTGTAAAACTTTTCATGGGTGTGAGTTCTTACTGTACAGTGTACTCGATGCAACCTAACTGTCTGCCTAACTCATTAAGATTTGTCAAATTTATGTGATGAACTCGGGAGCTATGTTTTTGCAGAGTCTTATCCCAGTTAGAAATGAAGAAACATCCACAGCTGCATGTGTTATTAATCAATATCTTGGCAACTAGTTATTAGCTAAGGCAGCTCAAACTTACTCCTACTATGCAAATTTTTCAGCAAAATTATTATTAATTTCTTTGAAGCATAAAATTCCTTTCATTGTTTTTACAGTGATTGAACACAAAAAATATTTGCATTGTAGAAGTAAAAATAAATTGTCTTTGCTACTATTAGCAACCACAATATCATTGGTAGAGGCAAATCAATTGAAATTCATATCACTGTAATATATTGTTGGTAACAAGCTTGCAACACATACACTGCTAAACTGCTATGTGGCATGGACACAAGAATTCTTTTGCTTGTGAATTTGAATATCAGAGTGGCCTTATGAAACATTTCTGTAATCATATTCAACTCCATATTTGGGTTTTTTGTTTTGATCACAACTTTTATCTTCAGGAAGTGCTTCCCACGATTCTTATTCTGGTGTATTCAATGATATACCATCTATGAATAATTTTATGGCTCACGAGAAAATTCCAAGATCTCAGGTTAGTTGAACAAATGCATGCTAAAATAGTCATTTTGCCACAAAATGATTGATGGTTGATTCTCGACTGTATCACTGAGGTATTTGGCAATGTAGCTAGTTAAGCCTTTAACTTATATTTTGGTGGGCTGTTATCATTCAGTGACCTTAACAAGAGGGGCAAGGGAAACTCAGCAACCCCCCCCCCTCCCTCCCAAAAAAAGGGCTTTTTGCCCTCGCCAAAAAAATCAGGGTAAATATTAGGGGGGGTGATACCTAGTTGACTACCTATGTTACTAACAATCCCAACATTCCCACAACAAAAGTGCTCCCTCCCCCAAAGTTCATGTCTGGCTACGACACTGCGTGTGGTCGTGTGTATTCCGTTGTGCCTATCGAAATGTATGTGTTACAAAAGCAAGTTGTTTTTTTCTCATTCTTCCTTGTGTCCAAATCTGCTTTATGTCTATTTCAGAACGACATTCGGGTTAAATTTGAGTACAAAGGAGAAAAAAGGTGCTTAATGTTTAATACACTCCAGTTGCGTAGCGCGAACTTTTTACTAAACATAATATATTTTAAGGATCATTCCCGTTTCACGACCCGTGTTGCTGAACGATTTGAAGAGACGAATTTGCAATGCTTATGGCCACGATCTGACCATGAGTTACATAAACAACGACATTACGATTCCAATTAAGAAGCAAATGGACTTGGATAACGCCGTTGCCTTGCTCGACTTCAGTCCGCAGCTTACGAGCCTCAGGATATACCTTTCTAATGAAGCGGGCGGAAGCTTGATTTTAGTGAATAGTAGCAAATCCTTCAGGAAAAATCTGTTGAACAACAATGGTTTTTGGGGAGAGAGGATCTCGTGGGTAGGTTGTGATTTCGAGATTATAAATTTCGTCGCGTTTTCTTAAGCAAATCTATTTGTGCGTGCAAGGTTCAAGTCGTGCGTTTTTTCAAGGCTTCGTTTGATTGAGATGCGCTGTTTTCGTAACGTTGCACGTTGCTCTCAATTCTCAAAAGTCAAAGAAGAAAGAACGCTAATTCTCATTTTGATTGTCCGAATGCCATGAAAGCGATACATGTGAACGGATTTCATTAGCTAACGAAAAGATTTAGTCACCCTCAATGTAATTATTATTTTGTGCACGACCTATGGGAAAGTCACTTTCAATTTTTTTAATATAAATTTGTAATAAAGTAAATGGTTTGAACCCGGGAGTATCGTTACATGTTTGTAAATGTAGATCGTCCAGGTTGGTATAGTCCTGAGAAGGACTGTTTTTGTTGTTGTTGACTGACGTCTCGACAACCTTAGCGGTGACTCTGAAGATGAATAAATTTGTAATTTTAGTGAAATATTTACGTTTCTTATGCACCAAAGTCAGATACTGTATTTGCGCGTGTATATTCGCCTTATGCAGCGCCTGCACCCCCAGTTGAAAACCCTTTCTATATATATCTATGTATATTTTGTTACTTTCTTTGCTGAATATTTTTCACTTCTTCATTTGCAGAGGAAAGGTAATTCCAAGCCAAGGTAATTTTCTGTTTAGTTCATAAGCATTTCGAATAATAATAACAAATTCACGATTTTTGCGTGATTTAACCACTTTAAACGAATTTCAAATGTTTTAGGTCTAATTCCGATTCTTTGCCACCTTCCCATGACCCTCAAGACACCCCCGTCCTACTGTCGTCCACCTTTCACCACGAGCGCCATTATTCTTTTTCATCAGTAAGTTCCAATGGCCATTACTCGCCACCGGGTTTTGTACCCGATCCAGATTTCAGAGAAACACAAAACTCATTTGTACGCAATTCAGACTTCAGAGATTCATCCTTCTTCATGAAGGTTTGTAAAGTGTTATTTTCTTTTGTAATGCTTGCACTTGCCAATTCTCCCGTGAAGAGTATTGAAGATAACTTTTGAATAGTTTTTGAATGGTTTGCAAAACAAGTTACATAAATTGTTTATATCAAGAAAACGTGACGTGAAAAGAAATGGTGCCACGTTTCGGACGTCTAGCGTTTTCGTTTTTATGCGAAGCCAATATTTTTTCATTATTTTCAGTTAGATAAACTCATTGACTCACTGGCTATTTAATATAATTTTTTTCACCTCTTATTGAAAAACGTAACATGTCGTCCCCACCCGCCCCCCGTAATATGAATGGAATTGCTCTAATTTCCGGAGTGCTCCCACTTTCTAGTAACATGCTGCACTTTTCAGTGAGATTTGAACATTTGTTTACTCTTCAACAATACTGATGTGACAAAACAAGTTTTGTAGTAAGCACGCATTATACATTAAAACTGACCTCAAGCTCGGAACTTGAATTCCAGTACAAAATTACTAATCTCCATGTATTTACTTACGAAAAAGTTTGTGTATAGCTTCTTCAACGAAACATCATTTTTATTGCAGAGTGAAGGAGAGTTTGTTCCCGAAAGCAATAGTGTTCAGGTATGTTTTCTTTTGACATTCATATTGTCTTATAATCTTACGTTAAAACCACCAAAGTCACGAGTTCGTTGTTTTATAGTTCATCTATGAAAGTCAGCTTTCTATAGCGACTCAACTTGTTTTTACCAACGATTTTTATTTTCACAGGATAGATCCATGTTTGATCCTTTGAATCAAGTAAATCAGGTTCGTGAAGATGGTTTTCTGTATGCTGGCCTAAATTACATCTTGTAAGGATTTGGGTCAGCGGTCGGGGTATTTTTATCATCGAACTATAATACATGGAACGCTATGTAGAAATTAATTGAAGCCAAATATTACACCCAGACACGCGTGTGTAAATTGATTGACTACACACGCGTGTCTGGGTGTAAAATTTGGCTTCAAAAAATTATTTGGCTTTTGTATTACAGGTAGCGTTCCATGTATTTTAGTTCAATGGTTTTTATACTGTCCATGACGTAATGCATGCCAAAATAGTGAATTCTCTTCACAAACGAAGATAAAGGGTTTGATTTCATACGATGTTTTCTAATAGTTTAGCATGTAATAAAGTAAATGGTTTGAACCCGGGAGTATCGTTACATGTTTGTAAATGTCGATCGTCCAGGTTGGTATAGTCCTGAGAAGGACTGTTTTTGTTGTTGTTGAAAAAATGACTACCGCTAAGGTTGTCGAAACGTCAGTCAACAACAACAAAAACAGTCCTTCTCAGGACTATACCAACCTGGACGATCTACATTTACAAACATGTAGCTTAGCATGTGTGACTTCTACTTTGCTGGAAAGTTCTCTCACTGGAGTTAACTTACATCGTAATGAAATCTGTAGTGTTCAATACTCACTTCAGCACAATTACTAATTACACTGAGTTATGTAACTGTGACGGTGACGAGTCTCGATGATGAGACATAACGTGTCTTCGGCTGAAGTTTATTGTACTGTTTTCGAGAAGAAACATTCTTTCGATGGTTTAGAAATGTTTTTTGACCATGAATCGATTACGCTAATTCAATAAAGTCGCGTTTTAATTCTTCGTGCGGCATGGATGAAATTTCCATACTTTGTCAAAACTTTTTTTACCAGCTAAGAGTTCGGAAAATAAGCACGGCTGTCCGTTTTATTTTGCCGTACGGAATGTGTGCCTTCCACTCTTTATTACACAAGAATTTTTATCTTACGAATTGAAGATTTTGGTTTGAATTTAGTAAAGCAAATCTCATTACGGGTACGAATCTTCAATGATGATTATATTCTTGTATTTTTTCTAGGGAAACGTTTTATCAAGTCCTAGCTTGGGGGATTCCCTTGCAGAGTCTAATACGTCATTACAATCGTTCGAGAGGTACGTTTTTCCTTATACTTCATCTTAATTTAAACCATGTGGATGTTGACGGGGGGTAGGTCCATCTTAAATATTTTGGTGACATGTTTGCATGAACAATATTTTTTTCTCATGAGGATATTGCTCCTCGGAACAAGTCCCCCATTCTTTTTGAGCTGTATTTTCTCTCTTAGTTATAGTGATCTTTGTCAGCCGTTAAAACGATCGCGGCAAGGTTATGAACACATCTTGTCGACTTTCTCACAGGAAATGGACTTTTTATCTGGTTTGTTGTTTCATTCTGAATATATTGAAATTTGCATGTTTATTTCATTGACTTTATTTGGAAGGTAAAAGGTAAAAATTGACAAACTGGTATAGTTCACTTCATCGAAATTCTTAAACTCTTCCAGTTTGACCAACTGTTACTCGTACCACTCCACCAATTACTCGCGCCACTCCAGCAATAACTCGTACCATTCCAGCAATAACTCGTACCACTCCAGCAATAACTCGTACCACTCCACCCAATGCTCGAGCCACTCCACCAATTACGCGTTATCACATAAGTGATAAGTAAAATTGAGCTATTGCCGCTAACGCATTCTGGACAAACACACGCTTGTTGTATCTATAAGATAGACGCGAAGATTTATTATTGCCAGCGTTGCAATTATTTTTTGTTTTTATAGACTCCATTGGATCAAGCGACAGTAAAGCCGGGACATTTCCGAGACGGCATCATACTATCGCTCTTTGTAAGGCGGATTTGGCTGACGGTATGTTGCATGTATCATTTATCAGTGGAATTGATTCAATAATTGGTATTACCGTAACTTATCCACTGTTTATTTAACGATTTGATTTACACGTTTTTTTTCACTATAATTTCACTCTGCCATCAAAGATATTATATTTGCAACATAGCGTGTTTGTATATCCGAAGCAGCATAGCGTTGATATATTTTATTGTATGCGTGCTCAATATGCGCTGTTAACAGGTTGAAATGACTTACAAGTCACTGCATACGCGGATATATCATAAAAAGTATATCATTGAAATTTTCATTGAACTATGGTTTATCTATACATTCTTTATGAAAATGATGAAAATACAAAAATGCAAAATATTTAGAAAAGTTCACAAAAAGTTCACAAACTTTTAATGTTAATGTTAATGAAATGTTAATGAAGAGAGCACAAAGTTCACAAATCTGTGAACTTTGTTCACGATCTGGCAAAACTCGTTTATATCCACCCACATTATAAACTACTAATTACGTATTTCCTGTATCATGTCTATAATTACATCGACTTCGGAGAGCTGTTCGAATGAGCCTGAATGAGGCTGTTCGGATTCAGCGAGGCGTGAAATGATTTTGAGTCATTGAAAGGAGTAAAAATATTAAGCGCAAAATTTACAACCTTTTTTCTTAAGCGTCATAAGTCATTTTAGTTGTAATTTTCAAATCAAAATAAATTATTTGTTTTCATTTTTAAAGGTTTTGTGAATTTGCAAAGTCAGAGCATAGAAAAATTACTCAAATAAGTTTTTGTTGTGAAGTATTTAATCTTTTCCATTTGCCAAAATGATTTAGCGCTTCGCTGAATCCTGGCTACCCGGGCTCATGTGAACAGACCCTGTGTCCAGACGTGGACACAAAGATGTTCATATAGACAAAGACGTTCAACCTATAATGAGCTGTCTTCACACAGCTGCAACTTAAAAACTTGAAAAACATTTTGTTCGTTTAGGTAACCAAACGTTTCCTCGCATTCGCAAACCTTTGCCATTCTGGAATTCAGAAATGGCTTCTGGAATAACAAGTGCGAGCAGCAGTAGCAGTGGACTTGTTCCTGATATTGAGGATCGCAGATCTTCGAATTTATGTATGTAAAGAAAGACGAAACTTCCTTTTTTGTTGTAGTATAAGTTTAATTTAAAATTTTTCTTGATTTTTATTAAATCATTATCTTGCTTTAGCTGCATTTCGTATTATAATGTTATTGTTAAACATTTCGCCATAGTTGCCGCCGTCCCTAAGAATTGGAAACTTGGCCGACTGCTAGGTACTGGTGCGTTTGGTCAAGTTTTTCTGTGTCACGATACCGACAATGGTAGAGAATTGGCTGTAAAACAGATTGATACAGGAATAACGACAACGGCGCAGCAAAAAGTTAGTGGGTTTTTATTAGTGAATTCGTGTTGTCATCTGCGAATGCTTCGTCATTTGCAATACTGTTGTTATATGCTTCCTACTGAGTCGTTGCTCGAGCAGTTTTAAATGACCGCGAAATGGTAATTAGCCAATCACCAATGCTACCGCACTTGAAATATACATCTTCATAAGAAAAAAAGGTTATAGTTGACAGTGATCTTGTATCGAGCTTGTTAAACGTGTATTGTCGATCTAACTTTGTCGGCTGGAGTATTTATTATATTGTAAGAGGTCAGACGTACATGTTTCAAATATAAAGTACCAACTTGTATTTTTTGTAATAAATAGGAAATCAACACATTGGAAGTGGAAATCGATTTACTAAAGACTATAAATCACAATGCTATCGTATCTTATTACGGAACACAACAGACTGGAACAAGAATATGGATATTTATGGAGTACATGCCAGGGGTAAGAAAGCAAAATTTTTGTAGCAGAAGAATATAAAAAGAAATTCATGCTGTGAACTACCCACGCGATAGATTATTGAATTTTTGTTTCGCCAGGATACGCGTTACGTCAGGAATTTTTTTTTATTGTATTTTGCTGATCATTTGGTATTCAAATTATGAAAATTAAGCCTGGCTCCTAAATAGTCTATGATAGGACAGAGCTCTATCCACTGCACTAAAACGGCTTAATTGAGACGACCCAAACAAGTATAATGTACAGACACTCGCAATGTCGTCCATGGTTTAGAAGGCAATAGCTCTCTGTATTTTATGGCGACTGCGAGTGGTGACTATCGCAGAAAAAGTAGTTTGTTTCTAGTCTCTTTTGAGTAAAACTTTTTTGGTTTATCTGTTTTGAAAATATGCTTTATAACCCTAAGCAAAGAGCACTACTCAAAATGATTTCCTATTGTCTTCATAGGGATCTATATACGACCATTTAAAGCAACATGGTCCACTGTCTGAAAGTCTTACTAGTAAATACACGAGACAAATATTACATGGAGTATCCTATCTTCATTCGTATACCATCATTCATCGCGATATCAAAGGTAAGTTTCCACTGTTTGTTCAGTTTAATAATGGCACCATGTATTGATTAAAAATTCTTTAATCATTTTTCAGGAGCAAACATTTTACGAGATACAAAAGGCAATGTTAAGTTGGCAGATTTCGGTGCTTCGAAACGTTTACAGGTAAAACTAATAAGTTTGGGTCTTCGTTTTCTGTGAAATTGGAATCAGATACAGATCTCCAGCAGTGGGGAAACCCCTTGCATCACATGACAGCATACCTAATCGTTATTGAATAGATTATCGGCCTTACAATTTAGTCAGGAGTGCTTGTATTCATTATTTTTACATTTTAAATTCGATTGATCTATTAAAACATGAATGAACACATGCCAATATCTAGCCGAATGGTCAACGAAGAAATATGGCAAATTCCAGTTACTTGACCTCATAAAATCCAATCTAACAACTACATGGATATATCCACTTTATTAATCCGACACTACCACACATGATATAGAGTTTAATCCGACACGACAAACGACAAGCTCTTGGAAGAGTGCAATCTTTTTCAAATACGATTTATTTTGTAGACAACAAGCAGTATGACTGGATTCAAGTCAGTTCATGGTACTCCTTACTGGATGGCACCTGAGGTCATTAATGGCGCTGGCTACGGTAGAAAGGCTGATATTTGGTGAGTTTATTGCCCTTTATCGCATTTTCATGTTTTTGTTTGTTTTTGTTAAAGAAATACTGTAAAAATGTGAATGATGTTTTTTCGCTAGGAGTGTCGGTTGTACCGTAGTTGAAATGCTCACGGGGAAACCACCCTGGTCGGAATTTGAACCCATGGCGGCACTTTTCAAAATTGCCACACAGGAGACCGAGCCCGACCTGCCGCATGAGACTTCCGTCGAAGCTCGTGAATTCGTTGAAACAACCCTTATGAAGTAATTGAATTTTTTGCTTAGTTTTTAGTTTTCATTCAAATGTTTGCTGTGTGTATTTACAACTAATGGAACTTCTTTAATATTTATAGGGATTCAAATTCTCGTCCCAGGGCTAACGAGCTCCTTTCTCACATTTTCGTGCAAGAACAACCTAACACGTGATCAACGTGGATATCCGCTAGATTGTATTGTCGTCTTGTGCTATGCAGGGATATCTATGATCATGCGGGATTGAAATTTTTCGATCGTAAATTTAATTTGCATGAAAATAACTTTCGTTATTGATAAATATAGTTTTAAATAGTTTTATAGACATATATTTTGATATTTTTTGTAAAAAGAAATTAATCACCATTGTATATAGAATAAAGAACAGATTGCATGAAAAGCAGCCTGTTGTAATCGTCACTGTAAATAAAATCAGTGTGATAAAACTATATCCATCAGGTACAATAGGTAATCCTCTTCTATCAAAGTTTACCCCCACCTCCATGCGAGTTTCGGCGGGAAACATGATGAAGTATGAACATTGTCTTCGCTTCGCATGTCTTTGTGTTTGTGAATTTTTAAAAAGGTGTTGGTGGTTATATTTTACATCGAATGGACTCCAAATGGCCACAGAAGTCTTCTGAAAGGTGTTATGTGTCAAACAGTTGAATTTTGAAGAGCGAGATAGTAAAGTGACGGATATATGAGCGCGTCTTGCGAACGTCCTGGTTCCTCGTGCATTTGACTATTGTGCGACGACAACGACAAAAATCAACGTTTGCTAACACGCTCTACTTTCATGGCTAAAATTATGAGCCAGGGATGAAAACGAAAGTAAGCAGTTCATTACATCTAAATTTTTGAATTGAGTCACGTATTGAACGAGACATAGAGTATTTTTTTGTGAGGAAGCAGACTGATTTTAATAACATGGAAAAGATTAGTATTTGATACAGCATGAAAATTTTTAGTGGTATATACTGTTGGTAGAATCGACAGGGCCAGAGTAACCTTTCTTGGACACCTAGGACCAACCTTATGGTGATTATTAGTCCTTGTTATGTTCTCTACAAGTTGGAAACAAAGGCAGGCATGCTGGAAGTTGAACTTGTCCCTAAACACCAATTCCTCAATGTGGTTTTGTAGATAGAACAGTTGTGCATTTTTGTTCGACTGTCTTGTGACTCCTGTCATTTTTAGGTTGTTGAGCTAAGAACTTAAACAAAATTTTTTGTAAAAATTGTTGAACATCTTTTGCACCTTTCAAAAGCCAGTAGCAGAGGCGTAACTAAAACATTAATTGGGGGGGGGGGTGCATATTCATATATTCTGTTATGTCCTAATGATTTTTTTTGAAAGTGAATTGAATTTCAAAAGAAATCATTAGGGCACAACTGAATACATGAATATACACTCCCCCCCAATTTACGTTCTAGTTAGGCCTCTGACCAATAGCCATATATTTTATGTCTTGAGATTATAACTGCCACAGCAGTCCATTAATAATATTTGTACTAGTTTTGTAGTCATCACTTGTATAATCAGTTGAGCAATTTGACTGATCTAGGTGGGCAAGGTCTTGACTACAGGATCCACCCCTTAAACCGGCCCTGAGTATTAAACTGGCCAATCAAGTTGTGCTAGAGAGATAAAAAAGTTAAATATCTTTGTTTGATTACATGGTGAGATAAAATTGAAAATGTCTAGATGTGGTTTAGAATTGAACTGACTGCTGGAAACGGTTGATTTTTTAGCTGACAGGAGTTGAAAGGAGTGTCATCGACTGTCTTAATTAGCTGCCTAGTTTAATTTATGCATGAAAGTTAACTCCTTGAAACTTGAGAAGGAGTCAGAACTTGGGAATGAGTTTTAGGAAGTGAATGAACAAAACAAGAAAAGTAAATTTTGTTGTAATGCTCAGCAGAAGCAAGAAGATAGAGAACTGTTAAGATGTCTGGTGAGAAGATAAAAAAATAATGTTAACAAAGAAAAGAAAAGAAAATCTGTAGGGAAATGAAAAAAAAAAGAAGTGAAGAGATTTTGGAAGTGTTGGAGTAGTTGATGTATGTTGATGTATGGAGTGGGAAGAGTCTACCAAGAGTTATAAATAACAGCAATTGCAGTTGTTGATGTATGTTGATGTATGTTGATGTATGGAGTGGGAAGATTCTACCAAGAGTTATAAATAACAGCAATTGCAGTTGTTGATGTATGTATGTTGATGTATGGGGAAGATTCTACCAAGAGTTATAAATAACAGCAATTGCAGTTGTTGATGTATGTTGATGTATGTTGATGTATGGAGTGGGAAGATTCTACCAAGAGTTATAAAATAACAGCAATTGCAGTTGTTGATGTATGTTGATGTATGTTGATGTATAGAGTGGGAAGATTCTACCAAGAGTTATAAAATAACAGCAATTGCAGTTGAGAAAACAACGCGGGTACCAATCTCCTTTGAAAAGTAGGGGTGTGGACTGGATATTTCAGGGTATGGTAGTAGTTTTCTAATGTGAAATCATTGATTTTCAAAGAACATATCCTCCCCCCCCCCGTCCGCACAGTATATACGTCATTGTGCAGCAGTAAATTCAGCTCTAGAACAGCAGAAGCGGTAGTTTAAAATGCAAGAACAGATAGTAAGAACGTAACGTGAATAGTTAAAGCGATATCAGAATTTGTAAAAAATATCGAATTGTTCACCCCGACCTCCTTCTATTTCATAGAATTCAAGTAGACATTAAGACGTTTATTCTCTTCGACTGACAATGTGGAAATTCTTTGAAAACGGTGAACAAGGTCATAAACAACACAAGTAAGGAAAATGCTTTAAAGTATGCACGAAACTTCGATGCTTTAAGCCGCCCGCAGTGCGTAGCAAACTCGTTAATTGGGGCAGAAATTCATATACGTATGCTTAATCTTTGAACGCAGATTCATCGCAAAGAGCAAACATTTGAAGTCTCAACAGACACACGCGAAATCGAGATGTTCACCATATATAGGTCGCGTAAAAGGACTGGGTCGATTACGTAATTCAATCGTCCCAGTTCCCTACATACTACTTTAACCAGAGATATACTTGCGCAAAGCGTATATGAATAGCAAAAATGAGAGCTCAACTAATAGCTTAGGAAGAACAGCCTCAATAAACGTTTGACTTAGAGGACGATTTGGTTGGACTTCGGTTTGACTTCACTATTGCTAATAGGCTTTTAATATAGACGACGAGCTTGTTTTTTTTTGAGAATAGACATGTTTTGACATCTCATGATGCCATCTTCAGTATAAATGAATAATTACATAAATAATACAAAGTTTATATTAGAGTAATATGATACAGTGACATAAATATATAAAGATGGATAGATTATAACAATAATAAGGAATCGTGCAACCAAAAAGCAATCAAAGTGCAGTCAAAAAGCATTTAACATGGATAAATTATAGGAAAAAAACACTAAAGATGGATAAATTATAACAATAATAAGAACAGTGCAATCTAAAATTGAACAAAGGAAGTTATCTAACGAATTGACGAAAACAACAGAATGCTTAAAAATTATCCTATCCTCTCTCGACTGGAGTATCTTAAACAAAGCTCTAGAAAAAAATACAACCAAATACCTTCAAAAGACAAATACCACACATCGGAAAAAAGTAATCTCACGAGGAACTGAACTCTAGTATTCACACACAACGAGACGATAACCAATCTATCATCACACCAATTAAAAGACGAAGAAATAGAACTCTTAAAAAATGGTCTTGGATTCAGCATTAAACAATTACGACTCAACTCAACCGACATTCTGGCAACATTCAAAAAATCCACCAAACTACAACACACAACATTCACAATCAAGAAGAGTACTCGCATCTCAAAACAGAGCTGGCACGCATCGCTCACTCGTGCATCTCATCTTATCACTCGACACCAGCTGACTTCAAAAAACATCGCATCCTTAGATCATTCGCAACAATCCAAACATTACGTTTCGACAACCTTAGCGGTAGTCATCTTCAGAGTCAAATGAGGAGTAAACGTCAGGTTAGCCGTATTAGTTATCTGGTTCTTACGTCATTGTATTGTGTGTACAGGAAATGTGTATTGTCATTGTGAATTAGTGTGAAGTGAAATATTTTATTTTTACTGTATTGTGTGTACAGGATTTACGTTTCGACAACCTTAGCGGTACAACAATCCAAACATTATCATTCTCAAACTGGACAAAGGCAACGGCGTTGTAATCATGGATCGTCAAATGTATCGTAACTCCTGCCATAAAATCATTAACAATAGAGCAAAGTTTACCCCACTTAAAGAAGACGTCACACTATCACGTGAAGCCAAACTGCAACGACTGTTAAGAAAGCTTCTAAAGAAAGACTCGATTAACAACAAAGTTTATAATGATATCTTCCCCAGAGGTTCTCAACCCTCACGCTTCTATGGCTTACCGAAACTTCACAAGAAACGAGAACCAGAACAATCGCCTCCACTACGACCGATAGTTTCATCAATTAACGCATACAATAATAATTTGGCGACGTATCTTAGTTCTCTACTAACACCATTCATACCAGATGTCACTCCAGTAAAGATTCTTTCACTTTCCTCGACGACTTCTCATCTTTCAACTCATCAACTTCTTGTCACAAATTCTTCATCTCCAACGGCGTTGAAAGCCTGTTTACTAACATACCACTTACTGAAACCATCAACCTAGCAATTGACGTAATATTCACTCACAACCCCAGGTTCAGTATAAACAGGACAGACCTCACACAACTATTTTTAATAGCAACAGTACACATGCATTTTTTATTTGATGGGAAATTTTATGACCAGACGGACGGTGTTGCGATGGGTTCTCCCTTAGCACCCATACTTGCCTACATTTTCATGCGCTCACATGAACGAAACTGGCTAAGTAATTACAACGACACTAAACCACTATTTTACCGCAGATACGTTGACGATCCTTTTTTGTTTTACTAACGAAACTGAGGCCATGAAGTTTTATAATTACATTAACACACAGCACGCAAACATTAGATTTTCATTTGAATCTGAACAACAAGATCAACTGCCATTTCTTGACATTTTACTAACAAAATCCCATGACAGCTGTGCAACGTCTACATATCACAAACCAACATACACAGGACTTCTGATGAACTATTTTAGTTTCACATCACTTTCATACAAAACCGGACTTATACCCACACCAATCGACAGAGCATACAAACTTAACAACACGAACAATGGCTTTCGACAAGACAAAAAACATCACATCCACTCATACGAAATCCTTCCCACTACACTTATTAACAGAACCGTAAAACGATATCACAACAACAAACATAACAATAACCTCAAACTGGACGCCGAAACTCCTGACACGACGACCACGACCAACACAAACGAAAATTCCACAATAAAACTCTTTACTTTAATACAAATGATCGTAATAAAGTGAATGGTTTGAACCCGGGAATATCGTTACATATTTGTAGATGTAGATCGTTCAGGTTAGTAGAGTCCTGAGAAGGACTGTTGTTGTTGTTGTTGTTGTTGTTGATTGACGTTGCCAGAATGTCAGTCGAGTTGAGTCGTAGAGATTTAACGCTGAACCCAAGACCATTTTTGAAGAGTTTTAATTAGTTCTTCGTCTTTTATTGGTGTGATGATAGATTGGTTATCGTTTCGTGTTTGAATTGTAGAGCTCTGTTCTTAAGATCACCTTTTCCGATGTGTGGTAATTGTTTTTGTAGGTATTTGGTTATGTTTTTTTCTCGAACTTTGTTTAAGATACTCCAGTCCGAGAGAGGATAGGGTAATTTTTGAACTTTCTGTTGTTTTCGTCACTTCGTTTGATAACTTCCTTTGTTCCTTTTTTCACATTTTGATTGCACTGCGTAGTAATCGTTTGCGCATCGCAAAGCTATCTTGGTTGTGGACATTTAGAAGTGGAAAGCAAAGAAACTTTGTCAAATGTCAATTACTGGAAACTCCTTGCACAAAGAGTGTCTTCACATCCTTAGAAATTTGAAGTTTTTGTTGATTGTTACACGCTACAAGCCCAAAATCTTTTTTCCCTGGATTTCTCTCTGAGTTCTCTTAACTTTTTCCTTGGTTTGAATCATGCAAAGTTTCTCAAAATTATCTTTCCTTCGAGCGTTTGCTTTCAACCAAGTGCGCTGTAATTTCCTGTTACGAAGTGGTAAATAGCTTTTATACTTGTTGAAACATCATGTTAAGGACACCTCACTTATGTGCAGTGAAGAAAAAGGAAACCACAAGTTAATTAAGACTTTCATTCATAATTTCTGTTGTCAAGTTACTCCCGTGAACTGAATATTCCTTTTCGCAGTTCTCGTCAGGTTTAGTTTTGCAGTATTTTCTCTTCTTTCCTCGATAATAATCTGTTGATTGTCAGAAATATAACTATTAGGCTGTGTTGAATGTGTAATTCTCGGCTATACTAATACCAGGGACAGTTTGTAGTTACAAAGATCAAGGTTAAAGTAAAATCCGGGACTGCTGTTAAATGCATTTATGCAATTACCCCCTGGTGTGTGTTACATTCAACCACTGCATTCAACTCTCCTCTTCATCTTTCTTCACGTTGGCCTGCAATTCATAAACGTTCAAAGTGTTAGAACTCATTAAAAAATGGTACAGAATAGAAATCACTTCAACAGAACGCAATAATAAAATGATGGAAAAATAAGATAGTAAATGAATTCGACGAGTATTTAATGGCTTTCATTAATCCATTGAGACCACTTCTAGACACCTACCTAGTCATTATCCTGTTTTATGTGTAAACGACCTTGAAACACGTGCAAACAGTAATACCGGCCCTAATAGTTTTAGCTTTTTAATTATCGTTCCCTGTCTGTTCTTCCAGTTTTCATTATATATATGTCCAGGTTTCACTCTGTAAGCAATACATATAATAATAGCATGTTCACCCTACTACCAATATCATATATATATGGTGATAATATATGCTTTTCTTCACTTTTGTGACTCTTTGCATCGAACTAAAACACACTTGAGACGCCGGACCAACAGTTCTTATTGACGAAAATTCTTGACTACTTTAATTTACCCCACACTGAGAGCATTGAATTATGAACTTTCAACGCGCAAGCATGTAAAATTGAATGTCGATAAAAGTGCTGTAGTGTATCGGTATGTAGTCCGTTACTTTGGTATTTATTTTCTTTCAAGGTTAATGTTTATGATTTTTAAAAAAGTATTCTCGAGTTTCCATCATTTATTAAACTGTACATGATGGAACTCTTTTAAATATTGTGAGCTTTCGAGCGTTGTGCTAATGAAGTTTTTCAAATTTACCTGTTAGTTTAGTTTCCATAGAAAACCTTTTTCTTATTGTTCTTTCTTTCATCGTGTCAGATGACGTAATCAGTTCTTTATCTTTTTCATCGTCGTCTTTTTGTGATTTGGCATCACAATTATTGTCTTCCACGATTCTCTGCCAGCAATAACGGCCAGGCAGCGGTTTCCCCGCTGCAAAATCAAAATTATATTCCTCTTTCTTTTTCCTCAGTCTTTCGTTATTTGCCTCCGTCGCTTCTCGGATAAGATCGTCATGATTCACAACGGTTCCAAAAAGATTCCTACATACCTTACGACTTGGTGCGATGTCTTTCTGTGCAATCGGAATCATATTTGAATCCTGTTTTGAGCTTCCTTGTTGCAAACTAACCATTTTGAAACCGATACGCTTTTCCGTTACGAAGCGGATACGTAACGAACCAACGATCGAACTTTCGATTTAAATGTGCTCTTTGTGTGATCGGCGGTTTTATTTTATTGTTATGCAAATTATAAGGAGCTAATTTATGGAAATTGCTTCCCATACAACGGGGCCACGAGGCCCTATTGTCTACGACGCAGCTTCGTAGTGTTGTGATCTGTGCAACATCTACGTTGCTTATTGTTGCCATATTTTTTGTTTGTTTTAGTTCATACACGTGAACACGTGTCACTGGGTCTTACAGCTTGTTTCAACGTCATTTATCGTGCATTATCTCTCCTCGCTGTATATGCTCAGGAGCGGATTTAGCTATTCTTGTGTTCTTGTATTCTTGAAACTTTTACAGTTTGTACTTTATAACAAAAGATTTGTCTATATTGATACAAGAGCACGCTGCGGTTTCGTGCTAAGATTAGATTATTGTTGTAATACATTATATATGATAGCGGCTTATTTTAAATTCAAAATACTTAGGAACAACGCGCAACATTGTATATTTTTCTTTGTTTGTTCATACACTTACACACGTGTCACTTGGTCTAACAGAGCCCTCTATTCGTAAGGGTTGGGACAGCGGGTCAGGGGCGAGCGCGGAGCCGCTATTTTCGTTTGAAACTGTGTTAAATTGGCTCATTGAGCAAAAGAATGAAGCAATTCCGCCTTGTTTAATGGAAATTTTAAATAAATCGGAAACCACAGTCAAGCTTTTGGCGTTTTTGTGAATAATCACTGCAAACCAAGCTCAATTTTATGGATTTGAGCTTCATTCGCAGTTTACTAGTTCGTGCTTTGAAACTAATCGTGACTCACTGCTAGGCGTTTTTACGTATGTGAACCTATATTCTGGCAGTTTTCAACTACAGCACCAAAATATTTGTTTTCATTGCTTATAATTAACCAGTGATAAAGAAAATACTCGACATTTCGGTTGCATATTGTTGGCCGGGAAAACACATTATTACACATACGTCCAGATCTGAATCAATGCTTTGGCAAGTATAAGGTAAGTCAAAATAAATCACTACAGCTCATTTTTGGTTATATTTGCATTTTAAAACCGTAGAGGCAACTTAATTGGGAAAAATATATTCTTTAGAAATTTATCACCAATAATCTTATTCTAAAACTAAAAAGTATTTTGAATTTACAATTGAGCTGCTATGATTTATTTTGACTGATTTAAACTGTGCCTGCCATTGAATCAGTGTTATCCATAGTTGGACAAGGTTTTGTTCTGAAGCACTGTAATCATGAAATTTTGCTTAGGTAGTAAATATTTTGCAATGTGATCCAGGCATAAAAATTTAATGCAGACAGCTTACAAAGGTTTTTTTCTGGAAGATTATGGACTTAAAATATTTGTTAGACGCAGTAGCTCTTTAATATTCTATTATAAAATAAACACAATGAAACGCTTGCTCTGGTTGGTCTAGAGTTGAGTTTGCATTAGCTTATACAAAACACATCTGAGCTCAACCAATCAAATCAATCTAAACAATCAATCAGTCAAAGAGAATTTGCAAATCGATCAAATTGAATACATTTTAGGGGGAAAATTAGAATGTCTGTCTTTTTCGCATTTTTGTTATTTTATGAAAGAAATAAAAGATGTTTTTCGTGTTTACACTAGCTTATGCAAACCTCGGAGACGTTTGTGAGAACTCTCGAACATGTGGAATCCTCGACTTTCGGTCTCGGGCTTGCACTGATCTGCTCTCGAGTTCTCTCAAAAGTCTATAAGCCCGTGTAAACACAGTAAACATCTTTTATTTCTTAAGTGAAGTTGTTGATTTCTTTATTGCTTGTGAAACTGTGATTATAGTTAAAGTTGAATTCTAATGCAGAATGGTATAGGCTTCTATTTGGTGAGGCATTTGTTGAAAAGGAAATTATTGTTTTTGCATTATAAAACAATTATGTTGTTGAAGAACTGTCTTCTTTGCTACGAATGTTACTGTTTGTACAGACTTTGATATTGCATATGAGTCTGATCCAATTTTTAATCTAGTTTAAAAGATTAATATAAGTTGAGTAATGGCAAAACTTCTGCATTTTTTCCCAAATTATAAAGAACAAAGACTAGACCAACTCAGTGATTATTGAAAGACCATACCATATCATTGATAAGTCAATTGAACATGCTCTGGTTTAAAGTACAGACAGCAATGTATATTTCATTCCAAGTAATGTATTTTACTCAGCTGTTTCAGTGTAAATATTTTTTTATGATTACTGATACTATACTTTCAAAGTATTTCCTAAACATACAAAATACAATATTCGAAAGTATATTATTTTAGCATATTTGATTAGCCATAATTGTTTGTTGAAGTGGTTATGAGCTTGTAAATTAGAGTCATTTCAGAAGATAATGATTGGTCATAATCTTTCTATAAAGCACGGGCTTTGTACGTAAGAAAACTATTGAATCGTTAGTCAAGAGCAGTTAGACACAATGGTCACTACGCGCAATCCAATCTATCGTAAAGCCATTTCTTTCTTCTTTCCCGATTCCATGATTTTGGCGATATGTAGTTACATGTTTCAGCTATCAAATAATTGATTATTACAGCCATATCTCCAGAAAATCAAAATATTTTCTCAAAATACAATCAAACTTGTAATGATTGCCATAGAAACACCAGCTCAAATTTCAAAATTAAGAACGAAAATGGCGGAAATCGATCATGTGACCGATATTGTCCAATCAACGCTTGCAAACCAGAGAACAATGCATTTCCCAACCACTGGTCCCAACTCTTACAAATAGAGGGTCTAACAGCTTGTTTCAACGTCATTTATCGTATATTATCTCTCCTCGTTGTATATGCTTAGGGGCGGATTTAGCTATAGGCAAAATAAATAACTCTATCGCATCAATTGGTTTATTTTTATTCATTAGAAAACTAATGACTTTGTTGTAAAGATATTTTAAATTGACGGTTATAATTTATTTTGCCTTTTAATAAATTCTAAATTCAAAATACTTAGAAGCAACGCTATTGGTGAGAAATTTTCGAATGTATAATTTAGTTAGGATTAGTTTTCATAGCATTTTAATAGACAGCTTGCATTATTTACATCATTAGATTTGGCTTTCTTTTGTTGTTTGAAAAGGAGCCAGGTACACAACATGTAAATCCACCAGGACCCACTTCATTTTGTTGACGACACATCGTCTAGCGTAGATTCGCTGCGACTTTCTGAGCTAGAAGTCTTCTGAAGTTCCGAGTAAGAGCACTGACCTGTATACTAATTACCTGGACGGGAAATCCACATCCAAATTACTATATTTTATTAACGCGCGGCCGGGTGTCAAAAACATGGATGCCGTGACACCAAATATGGCATATTTATGGTGAAAAATTACGTGGCCTCATTCAATGAAAAGTTTTGCACTCCCCCGGAATATTTTTAAATTTCATATATTTTTATTGTGCCGTCGTACGCCGTCGTAACAGCAAGTCTTATATTTCAAAACTTTCTTTCTAAAATGCAAAAATATTGTGCGGTACCTGGGTGCCAAAATAGTACAGCAAATGAAAAGTTTTCAATGCACCGGTAAAAAAGAAAGAATATAATTTTTGTGTATATAATAAAATATGATGTCTGGGTGTAAGATTTGGCTTCAAGAATTATCAGGCTTTTCTATTACAGATAGCGTTCCATGTACTTTAGTTCAATTATTTTTACATCGACGTATTGCAATTAGCGCTCGCAATTGTTTTATACAAGTAACCGGTAGATTGAGGCGACTTGGGTACTAAAAACACGGACGGCTACCATGTCAATGCTGTGAATTACGTTAAACGTCTGAACAATGCCATGCTTATAATCTCTTGAGTTTGTTTTTATACAGCACATCTTCTGAATAATAAGACTATTAGAGTATTATATACTTACAATAATACATGGTCAGTCTTAGGCCGAGTTATCGTATTGCACCGAAGGTCGGTGATCACCTTGTTGAAGTGACATTGCCAAACAAAACGACGTTTACCGATGATACTGATATTGAATGATACAATGACATGGCTTTATTGGCGAAATTCAAAAAATTGTTAGTTATATGTCGTTTGAACAATCAAACACAATGCACAAGTGAGTTGCGTTTTAATATTTTCAATGGAAACCTGTGTCTGTGCATGATAAACGATTCTTGGTAGTATGCAAAAAATGAAAGGAAAAACGTAAAGAATCAGGGCATCGATAGCTAGCTCCATGTATAATTGTAAGTTGCGGAGAAACATATCACATACATCTCATCAATTATCATTGATACATCGTTATGTATACATAGTTTCAATCTATGAATATATATAACATAGCTACAAACCTTCCCAATCATCCTGCCTGGTTATACGCCACTGGAAAGAATTAATTTTTTTGTTAATCATATTCAACTTTCCGTTTCGAAATCTGCTGTTCTTTCTCGGAAAACGTCAATAACGTTTTCTTCGAATATGTATTCAATCGATGCTTTATTCTGCTTTGCTTTCATTTTGATCCTTCATTTGCCTTAAGTTCTAAAAACTGTCAAAAGGAGAAGCGAGCGCTCTAACGCAAATCGTGAAACTTACGGCATTAAAGATGTCGTTTAACGAATTTTCTCCGGCACAACAACGAAGAATCATAGTAGAAAAGGATCTTCTTGAGAAATACTTCCCAGGCCGTGTATCATGGTCTGGCGTTAAATACGTGGAAATCACAATGCAAAGCAACTCAAATCGCAACTATAAACTTCGTGTATACATCGCGCAAGATTTTCCAAACTCCTGTCCTGAACTGGTAGTGGTAACACCGAAGAATATGAAAAAACGTGATGGAAAGGCTTTACCTTGTCCGAGCCATTCATTTCACACCTTAGGGAAGAAGGATGGTTACATCAAAATTTGTCATTATATTCCCGGAAATTGGACGGGCGACATAACGTTTTATCAGGTGTTCATGAAAGGTCGTTTATGGATTGAAGCTTATGAAGGTCATCTTAACACTGGAAGAAAAATGAAATCTTATCTAAGAAATCAAAGCGACAGTGACGATGACGA